ATATGAGTAAATTAATGTGATTTTTATGAGTATGCATGCTGTTTGGAACTATATTATTGCGCGTAACAGACGAAACTAAAAATACATTTAGGTTGCATGATCAAATTGGAAACAATAAAATATCGAACAAGATCAAATAAAACGTGCATTTACACCCCCAATAAAACTGGAATGGTTTAATCAAAATGCAACTAAGTCAACGGGGAGGATTTGGCGACTTAAAAAAAAAAAGTAGGTAATCAATACTACTTTTACTAAATCGATGTATAAATATCGCGTATTAGTATATTAAAAAAAAAAAAAACGTGGTCATCGATAAATGTTTGGTAAATGTAATTCTTTTTTATTTTTATTTTTAACACTATACATACATATTCATAGAGTATTAACATGAAACTAATATGCAACGTATTAAGATAATCCATTATGACAGAAATTAAATACTTACTCAAAAATAATAACCTACACGAAATAAGAATGATAGATATTGTTAGGTATTAATGTTACCTTCATAGTCATATAAGAAATTTAAGTTACATCATGATTCAATGTTTACTTTGTTTCACATTAAAACTGGAACCAAATGTTATATATTCTATCTACCTAATTATGTGAGCACTATTTGTACACTTAAGTATAAAAAAAAATAATAACTAGTTGATTATTTAATTCATAACAAACAATATTTAATGGTCATTATACTTATTTAGATTTATATCACACATTTTAAAATAATATAATTACTTTTTCAAAAAAAAAAAATTTTATTTACATGAAATATATACCATGTGTTACTTATTAATGTTGTTCAATAATTGTTATATTACAAATTTATTTATTCTGTTATGTTATTTTTGTAAATAATAAATATTAAAATGTAATGCATTGTTGAATATTATTATTTATAGTCATAAACATAAATCTGAATTTTAAGTTATCCATAATATCCAATATATTCTAACCGTATTACCGTCTCTACAGGATAAACAAATACAACATTTAAAAACTTGCCATATATAATAAAATAAAAATAAAAAATATAATATTATAAATATCAACAAAAATCTATGATTAAGCAAAATTACATTTTACTTATAGCATAAACTAAACAAGACAAAAATACTTATTCGTGGGATTATTTAAGTAATATTGTATTATGCTATATACTAAAAATTAATTGGCCAAACAAAAAACTTCATAGTGAAATGTGTCTGAACCATTTCATGTCAATATAATATATTATACATTTATACACGAGTATATTGCTCGATAATCGTGATAGTTGTCAAACAAATGATGTACACTAATAATATTTATTTCTTTGGCTTCTGTTATAAATAACGAACAAAATATATATCTCTTCTGTTTATTATTTGTATTATTACAATTATCATCATCATTAAATTTATTATATATCATAATATGACAGTATGTAAAAAAAATAATAATATCTCATTCGGGATTAAATGTGTATATACCTACGGATTGTTAAAATGAAAGACAGAATTCTTTGACATTTATCTGTAATGTGTACGTAAGATAAACATAAATGTCTAACTATTTTATTTGGGGTCATCTCCGTATTAATAAAGGTTTCTTAATGAAAAAGAGTGATTATATTGGTTTTAATGGGAGGAAAAGATGAAATAATTGTAAAAAATGACAATTTTACTGTGAAAATAATAGATACCTCTTATTTCAAAATTTTATTTTTAGAAAACTTACATTATTTAATAATGATCTAAATGTTTTACCTTTATGTTTTTTAGCAAGATCATTTTTATTTTAAAATGTTTATCTGCTGCATATTTTATTTTAAAAAGTAAAGATTAATAAATTATGTTCCGATGTATCTGTATACTAAAGTTAAATAAATAAAATTATATTTCGAGGGAAATGATATAAATATATTGATTAAATATTTATTTTTTTGTATTTGTATACATGTTTTCTTGATACTTTGGTATTTGATTTAGAGAGTAGTTATTTGATAGAAAGTTTGATCTATTTGATACTTTTAGAAGAATAAAAATGAAAATTTCAATAATTTTCAAAATAATCTCAAAAGCAAAAGATAAAATAAGAAAAAAAATAAAAATTTATACGTAAAACTATTTCAAATATTTATATAAAAAAAAAAAATGTAATTATATGTTTTCAGTATTGTTGAGTTACTATTTATTGTAATTACCTACTTATATAAACTCTTAAGGAACCTTTTACTCGTATTTATTATCTAATATTGTCTGGTGTTTTGACTCACAAACAAAAAAGTTATTATTATAAAAATCAAAAACTTCAAATGTCTTAAAAAAATATAGCTAAAATAAAAAATTAAATGTCTTAAAAATAAAAATGTTTACGCCTAGATGATTAGATGGTAATATAAATATTTATTAAACATTTAATTTCTTTCCGATTATTTATTTTTGAATATCAAAAAATAACTTAAATATATTTTGTCGAAAATTGGTGATGCTTACAGTAGATATTTCTATTTCTACACGATTTTCCCTATTGTTTTAAAAAGTATTGAAATTTTAATATCAAGTTAATTAAATTAAATTTGAGTTTAAATTTGTGTAATAATTGAACAACTTCAAAATAAAAAAACTTGAAAGATAAATATAAATATAAATGAGTTACAATCTTGCCAGGCAACAAATAAAAATAAAAAAAGTAGGCAAGCGATTACCGCTCTGCTATACATTAGGTGTTGAGTGGGTAACTATTATGAATGTGTTAAATTTTAATTCAATTATATATCATTATATGCGAAAAACGATTTTAAGCGGATACAGTTTGTCAAATATCATTAAAATACATTCATACCATATTAAAAAAAATTATATAACTCGAAATGTACTTTTATCATTCTCTAAATACCGTAAAACAGCAAAACTAAATTTTAGTCATTACCTACCTATATTATATTTATTAGATTTTATGATTTCAGTATGAACTATTATGAGGAATCTTGTATTTAAGTTTCAAAACGTAAGTATAAAAACAAATAAAATTATAAATTTCTAACTACAAAATAATTTGTATTTTTTAAGATTTTCCACATTTTTAAAAATTTTAAATTTTGTTGAGAAATAAACACTTATGAGGAGCTTTATCATAAAATTTCTCAAGCACTTTTACTCAATCATACATTTTTACCGTTATTTATAAAAAAAAAATTTAAAAAATTGAAAATTTTTATCGTCTTTTAATAGGTTGTTAAAAAAGTCAACAGTGTTTAAAAATTATATCATTAATAGAAAATAATATTAGCATTTAGTGAAAATTTCAATTTATTGAGGTAATTCAATTTTAAATTATAACAAAATAAAGAAATTAATTTAGTCGATTGGCTTAACGAAAAAATTCCAGTTTTTATTTAATTTTCTGTTGGTTTTTGACAAAAATAAAAAAAAATATCGGTAATTTTTTACTTTTGACTTCACTAAGGAAAAAATCTTTAAGTAAAAAATCGATTTCAGAATATTTTAATAAATTCATTTTTGTCATTATTTCTAAATACTTCAACTTATATTCCTGGTCCATACATATACCAGTACTGCAAATTCTAACTTCAGTTATCTATTATAATAACAATATATAAATCCATCTGGAATACAATAATAATATTATGTTTCAATTTTAAAAATCAAAACAAGTTCTTTTGTTTTGTAATTTTTATTTTTAATAATAAATATTAAATTGTTTATTTATAATAACTATTACTTTTATTACTCGTCAATAAAAGTAAAACTATTTATAAAGGTGAAAAGGTTTTTTTAACAGTTTAATGTAAATATTGTAATACATTACTATACGGATAAACAATAAAAGATTGCTTGGTAATACAATGTACTATTAAGAAAAATATGTATTAAATACACATTTATTTAACATATTTTATTATATTTTAGTATACATAAGTAAATTCATTGTTAATTTTTAAGAATATAGCTTACCTAATTCTTATAATTAATATTTCTTCCATTGGTATTGAATCTTGAAAATTTGTTAACTAAAGATAAAATTTTGGTTTTATTATTTCGTGTACGTAGTCCAATATTTTTAAATCAACATTCTTGTATATGGTCGAAACAAATCGTCATTGCTACGTTTTTAAAATATAAATGATAAAATAAAAATTATAGGATTGGTACGATATGACTTTTTCATTGTTGTTATACCATAACATACTCAAATAATTTAAAAATGTCTATAATATTTATTTTACGTAATTAGAGGTACCTTTTATATAATAAATACTCAAGTGCTCTATTTTCTGTGAGAAACATTTTGTTTTTCAACATAGACATAAACATAAATTATAACCAATAAAATATATATTTATTTTAACTCAATTACTAGCTAAAATAATATTATAAGTTTAGAGAACAAAATTAAAAAATCTACGCATGCTTGAACAGATACACCACTGTCGTATTTGTGAGATTAGTCGCAATTTCATATTCGTATTCGACGCATGTACGATTGTTGCAAATCTGAACAACAAATGCGATTAAAAATCATACGTATTAGTCGCAATTTCATACTTGTGTTTACATAGGATACACATTACTTTATTTTAAATAATAAATGTTTAATAAACATCATTGTATCTCTGTATATCAGTTTCAAGAAAATAGTATAATAATCGAATAACATTTTATATAAAATGGCGATTAAAAATTAAATTGAGACATATTAAGTAATATTAGATAATAGATACATATATATTTTATACAAGTTAAGCTATATAACTATATTTTTTATACAATCATTAAAATCACTAGTTATTATCTAAAAATATAATACAATATATTTAAAATACTTTACAATTGGTAATTCAAATAATAGATTTGCTAAAACAATTTATTTTTATTTTTTGTAGATACGTATTATGTATTTATTATTATTATTATTATTTTTTAATTCAATGTTTAGATTTAGGTATTATAGGAAAATACCAAAAAATATCTTTATAAAATTAATGTCTTCACACTTTTCCAAAATTATAAAAATACACCAAATACGTTGTATATTAAAATACGTTAAGTAAATTCGTGTAAGTACATAGTACATTAAAGATATTAATAAGCGAATAAAATAACGTATACAATTACAAATTAATATTTAATTCTTTAAACGCATCCTTAATAAATGGTAACATTGTCTCACTTGTTGGTCGAATAAGAATTTCAGAAATCTGTAAAATAAAAATTTAAATACTTATTATAATTAACTAGTATTAAATTATTCAAATTAACATGAAAAACGTCAACATTTGTTATATTCAGGAACATACGAAAATTTACGAAGTTGTTATAAGTAATAAGTTATAATATAAATTATTAATTTTCAATTATATTATGTTATAATTTATATAAGTTTACATTAACATATTGTGGTGTGGCCAAAACATATACAATTGCATCAGCTATATTTGAGGGTTTCAGTATTGGTACATCGGTCATATCATCAGCCATTTCAGTATCCACTAATCCCGGACTGATACTCTGAAAATGATAAATAAATATAATTTAAAAAAATTGATGTCTAGAATTAATTAATGTTTTAAATATTCAACTTTTTAACTCCGGTTCCCTTTCAAATCGAAAATAGTTCAATATAATATAAATGTATTTAAAAATAAATTAATTACAGTGACTCTGATTGGTAACATTTGTAAGGCTAGCAGTTCTCGTAAACTTTCAGTTATTGAAACGCTACTAAACTTTGTCGCACTGTAGACAGACATATTGGCCATTAACGTAGGTGAATAATGGCCCATATCACTGGAATAAAATGTAATAATACTAAGAGTTTAATATATATAAACACAATTATTAAAATATAGAATACTCAAATATGTATAAAAAAAAAATTTAAAAAAATAGGCGGTCACCCATTGAAATACTAAATCCAAATACTTAAACTACACCTAGCGATATTTAATTTTAGCAATCGGACGAGAACTCAGAACAGTATAATCAACATAGTTATTGACGATTCATTTTGATTATAAATTGATATATTATTAATTATATTAATTTTGAGCAAATACATATTAAATACAATAAAATTAAAAAAAAAAACTTGTAGAGTTTAATCCTATTGTATTATTAACAATGACCTTAAGTTTGATACCTATACAATACGTATTCAACGTACACCATTTAAAACTAATAAATTATTATTAATATCATTGTAGTAAACAAAACTTTACCTGCAGTCACTATGACAATATAATTGTAAACGGGTTTTAAATGCTATGAAAAAAATCGAAAAAATACTATTATTAAATAGATACTTATGTCAAAAAGTTTTTAATACAAAAATATATTTTGTACAATAATTTGGAATTAAAAATTTGTGACAAATATTCTTTTAAATTTATTACTACAATGACAAAATTTCACACTCATATAAATACATAAACTCAATATGAATATACAAGTGCATATGAGTCCGGTCTCTAATTATAAGTTCAAATATTTTGAAAAAATTGAAAATAATATATTATATTATTATTATTTTTTATAATAATAAAAGCCTAAATGATGAAAGGTTTTAAATTCTTAGATATATATATTTTTTTAAATAAGAACAAAATAATTAAAATTTTTCATTTTTGTTTAAATATTCAATTTTGTCACATTTGGACTTCAAATCTCTATAACTTCGAATGTATTTTTGTTATGTTTTAATTCTAGTAAGAAAAACGTATGATTTATAAAGAATCTTAAATTCAATTTTCAATTTTTTTATTTGAACATGAATATTTTTAAACATTTCTAAATAATAAAAAGATCTAAATTATTTTAGAGTTTATATCACGTCTATAATAATATTTTGTTTATTATAAATATTTGTTAAACATTTCAGACATTTATACATCTATGTATGGTTTTTAAATTACAACAAACAGCAAAATCGATTTTGTCAAAAAATCGTATGCGTTTAAATAATCCCGTTTTTTGTAGCTTAATTTTTTTATTCTTCTCTAAAACTAAAAAAAGTACTAACATTTTTTTACATTTAACTCCATAAAGTACGAACTACAAATAATTTTCACTTATAAAGCACCTACAAAGTTGATTACTGTAGCATTTTTACTGCTCCAAAAAAAAAAAAAAAAAAAAATGATAATTTATACAAAAAACCTTAGACTTGTAGGCCAATAGATCAATAAACTATTATATTCATCGTTCCGTTCAAAATTTAAAATATAAGGAGTTTTTTACCTGTTTATATTTATTATATGACCGTTGGTTTTCAACTCCTTCATGACTTTCACGGCTTCTTTACTACAAATGCTCGGTCCTAATACGTTAGTGTCGAACATCAGTTTCCAGTCTTGTGGGTTTCCTGACAAGTATACAGCATAAGAACATGAAAAATTGTAATAATAGTTAAAAAGTTGTATAGAACGTTGGCTTTGAAAGTTATTAATGTCAATAGTTTATGCGTATTTGTACAAATATAAATAATTGGCTTAAATAATTTACTTGTTAAAGTATAAAGACAAAAACTAAACAATTTGTGATTGTAATACTAAATTATTAATATACGGATATATATAATAGTTTTCAAATTAATTGTTTTTATAATTTCCGGCCGACGATCTTTATTTATTTTATTCCATGTACATAATAAATAAAAATATATACCTATAACATGTATATTATGGATATAAAAGCAAATTGCAATGTTATATTATAGTGACTATAACATATTTATATGTATGTATGTATTTATGTACAAAATATATGCTTATTATAAAACAAATGGCAATTAAAAGTAAACATTTTATAAATTTTTAACTAGAAATTATTTTGCGGTTTAGACTAATTCTGTAATTTTTTTTTAATTTCGAACACTCATAAAAAATGTAACAATATAATTTTAACATTATTAAATTGCATAATAATAATATTTATGAGAAATCTATTATTAAATTGTCAAGTTTTTTTTTAATTTTTCATTACAATTTTATCAACAACTAAAAAAATAAACTCGAGAAATTTAAATACCTACAAATAGGGAAATATTAAAACAAATATTTTAATAACTTCATTGTAAATATAAAACGATACTTTAAGTTGTAGTGGAATATTTTAAGTTTCAATGACTAATATTTTTTGAATAACAAATGCGTTTGAATATCTTATATGAATCTACCCTTCTTTTAATAATTTCAGTATAAAAAACGTATGTACAATTTTGTATTTAATATTTAAACCTTAGGTATTAAAATTTAAAATGTTATGCATTTATTAAAACAAAGTTTATTTTATTTTCAAATTTTCGTGCTTTTAACAAAACAATTTTAACCTTAACTTTAATTTTTTAAGCTTTTTTTATTCTTAAGAAATAGAAAAAAAATTATTGTAAATATCATATAAACAAACGAAATATTTTACAATTTGTATCATGTCTAAACAATTTCTAGTATAAATATATGATTAATTATTCAAGTTTCTATAATAAGTCATTTATTTGAGAATTAAAACAAAAAATAAAATTTAAAACCAAAAATGTTCACATTAAAAATTTATTTTTGTTCAACTTCTATGAGTAGTAACTAAATCGGATTTACTATCAGAACCACCTTCAATGTTTAATATCCAAATTTTTTTATTCTGTTACTATATGTACCTATTACTATTAAAAAAAAACACGTTCTTAAATCAACACATTCGTTGCCTTATGAGTTATGTAGAAAAGTCGTTATTATATATTTACCTAAAACGTCACTATTTTTCCAAACTCCAGCGTTGTTTACTAATACGTCGACTGATTTAAATGTGACTTTTACCCACGCAAAAGCTTCTCGGATATTTTGTTCCGAACACAAATCGACTCTGTAGTAATGAAATTGGCCCAATTTTCCAGTCAGCGTTTCTCGTAATTCCTGCAATATTCAATAAATAATTTATCATGGAGATCAAAAGCGTTAACAACCCACAGTAATAACTGAAAAATATTGACAAAGGCGATTCGATCCGAAACTAAAATTACAGACACTGCTGAAGCTAGAACAGTTGAGGTGAGAAAGTATCGATCCAATAATCATGTTTTTAAGATTTGATTAGTTTATAGAAATTAGAAATCATTATTCTTTTTAAAAATGTTGATTTAAAAAAAAAAAAAAACTATACATATTACTTCATAATAAGTTTTTTCATATTACTAATATTACACTATATTAAATAATTTCACTGGGTTAAACTGTTTGACAAAAGTATTCTGTAGTTAGAAATTTATAAAAATATTTAAATTTATATCTAAGATTTATATAATTAATAAAATATTCCTAGTAAGATTTTCCACATATAATAAAAATTAACCGGAAAGTCGTATTAATTTTTTTATAAGCATTTGAAGTTTTACGACATTGGATATTCATCGGAAAACGAATATTTCTGTTCAAACGGATTTTTAAATTTTGTTTTCTATAAATTTCAATAAAAAAATGTTTCACAGAATAAAAAATCTTAAAATAAAATACAACGATCCTCAAACATTGTTATTATATGCTTCTAGCTATTTATAAATATTAAATATACATATGTATAAATGTTTTTATAAGTATTTGTAGTTTACATTTTCATGAAATTCTGAAATTTCTGTTTATACTGAAACCAAAAAATCTAAAAACTATTTAAATACAATTTTGTTTTATAGACATTTTAAGTTAAAATTTGGATTAAATTACAAATTTAAACAGTGAATAAAAAAAATAAATATTTTATTATAGTTTATAAATATTCGTGCGAATTAAAACTTTTACTTTAATTATGAATTTTACTATTAGCTTATACATAATACAGTTTTCATACTATGTAGAATAAACTTTAATATTTACCTATATACACCGTGAACTTGTTCACAGTGTTTTACATATAAGGTGATATTGATTTAAAATTTAAAATAATAATATAATACGACATACCTATATATTATTGAAGAAATTAAATATTAATAATATAATAAACGTAAAGTTTTTGTAAAAAGTTAACGTAAAAACCCCAAAGAATTACTAACAGTTAAATAAATTATTATAACAGCAATATCAAAAAACATATGAAATATATTTCATGGTAAAGGCTGACAAATCATATTTTACGCTCAGAAATCAGAATTGTTTTTCATGTACAATGATATATCGTTGAATTATAATTTATCTCATCAATTTCAATTACCCACTCGATATCTACTGTACCTACAGTAGTACAGCAAATCGGTACGCACTTGTCTACCTTTTTTTATTAATATGTTTAGCATATTTATTGATGTTTTTAATAAATGTTGACATTTTTTGTGCATATCTTTCAGATCTTTAAGTCATAAAAAGGTCTTAGAAATGATATTTATACCTATTATTCTAATAATATTTATTGCGTTTTTATAGAATTAAAAAAAAAATGTTGTTTATATAGAGCCTATTTAATATAATTGTATTAGAGGCTAAATTATAAGCCAAACTGACACTGGTGTTGTAGATACATCTTATTATCCTTTGGTGTAGTTATTACTTATTAATTATTATTATAGCATATTATGATACACTTTGTATAATAAATAACATTTGAGCATACAAACACAAGATAAACCAAATATTATAGTAAAATCAATGATTTTGTCAACTATAAGAACTAAGAAAAATATATTTTTTAAATGTTCAAAAAAATTGTATGTGCATAAGAACTGGAATTCTAATATTTTTATTTTTTTATTTTTTTTAATAACAAACACATAACATGTTTATAATATTTAAACTTTAAAGCCTTTAATTTATTTTATAGGAAATACCTAAAATACAATAAAGAGTGCTGCTTTTTTTACTCCCTTACTTGCCAGATCCGCATAGGTAGGTACTCACTTCTAGTCTGTTTTCTCTTCTGGCAAATCCGATGACGATCATCCCACTGTCAACCAGTTGCTTACACGTAGCTGCTCCAATCCCAGACGACGCACCCGTAACTATAGCGACTTTTCCTACCCATTTGTCCATTTTTATTGAAATCGTTTGCTACACCGCTCTATCACCGTATGTCCGGCACTGAAACTGATCGCTATTATAATAATAAAATATATAGGAAATTTATAAAACTAGTTATAAATTTGACTACCTACCTATGTCTATCACACTGTCTCGGTATTCATCAGACACAAAACAATGTTTAGTCAATCTATAGTTCAAGTGTTTTATTATTTTAAGCGTTGTACCTACACACTTCATAGATACAGGAGTATTCGGAAAGTTCCATCGATTTCGATAATAATAAGTACATAGGTGGGATTATATTATATATCTACCAATACTCACAAAAACATTGAATTAATAATAAATACCTCTAATAGGTACTCTTTAAATAAGCCCAGCGTTTAGGTATCGTTAAGTACGATAAGTATCTCGTATCTATTTGTATTTTTTTTCACTTATTACGTATACAACGATGATATCATAATTATTTTAATCGCTTAAGTAAATGTATGCGGTAATAGAATGTAAAATGTAGCAATAATAATAATATAGGTATAACTCAGTTACCGTAGCTAGTATAAAACCAATAATATATATTTTTACAATTTTCTTGTATACCTATCCACTACCTAGGTACAAATTAAAGTTTGAATAATAAAAACTCTTATATATATATATTTGATTATATAAAAATTGGATAATTTCTTATTTGTTGTCTTATTTCTATGTAATAAGTTCATAAAGTGTTTTAATATTGAAAGTAATTATTATACATGAGATGAAAAAAATATTAGATCAACAAAAGAAAACTTAAATCAGGTTAGCACAACTGTTTACGTAATTTTTAAGCAAGTGGAAAATATCCATCTATTGTATTGAAGCTTTAAAAATTGAAAAAAGCATAAATCAACTCAAAGTTAAGCAGTATATTTCGAACAACAAACATCCAATATAGAATTAGTAGTATTTAAATAAATCGCTCTGCTTATAATAAAAGGAATACATTCTCGATTATCTACGTGGAATAGTTTATAATTTTCAATCGAAAATTTAATTTTTATTTGTACAAATTTTATAAATTTTTAACAATTTTAGTTCGTACAATAATATAATTTTTAGTATTTATACAAACTTAGGACTAACAGATTGTCTGAAAACAAAAATACCTAAAAAAAGTTACAATATATTAATTGTTAAGCGTATATTTTTCAATTAATTATGTACCTACATCTTAAAAACTTAGTATCATATTATTTATGAATTTAATTTTATATTAAGCAATAAGTTATTTAAAATATTTTAGTACTTATGGTAGTATGACGTACAATTTTCTGCGATCTGGAATAATAAAAAAATTTTGTCGAACTAAATTGCAAATTTTCGTGATTGATTTTGATGAATGGAGTAACAATTTAAACTTCTAACAGTTACAAAAAAATGTTGACATTTTTTATTTGCTACCTTTGGGGTCTATTTTACTAACTTGCACTTATTGTACAATTAATAATATAAACATCATAGGTAGGTTTTAACTAAAAAAAAAAAAAAGTAACAAAACAGCTACCAAATATTTGATAAAATTAAGTATTTCTTGTTTCGATAGGTATAGCTTAGAGCTTAGATATTTAATTTATTTCATACATTTGAAATAATTTTTCATTTTATGCGCTCGAAAGTTGTACTAAATATAATTTACTTATAGATATATCATATATAGTGTTTTAAACATTAATATGACTTAGTTACTCCTTTGTTTTTTTTTTTTTTAAGGTGATTGGTTAATATTGTTTATGCTCCACATTTTGTAATAAATGTGTATACTGTTTATATTCAGTAATTTAATATGCCTTACTAGTTATTATGGACCAATTTGGAATATTTATGATCGCGAAACATGTCGATTTATATAAATTCTATAGTATGTCATTAAATCACGCGATTACATCAAATGATCGTATTTTTTCATAGTTGCCATTTGCTAATGAAATATGAAATATATTATATCGATCCATCAGATTTAAAATACGTATAGATAACTTGCCTATATCGTATTATTTCTTTATTTCATATAATTATTTTACCTGACGGCAGTCTGTGTTATATCACATAGCTCTATTATAATAGGTATTTGTATTATAGTAAATTGTTAAATTTAGGTAGATAAATTAAATTATTTTAAAGTTTTTTAATACATATGTATTCATACTAACTAGTATTTAGGCCTTTTTTGATTTAATGCAGTGCATTATAATCCGTTTTGAAATAATATAAAAACTTGTTAAATTCATTATTTCAAATTAAGTTCTTAATATGGAATAGTAGATGGTCAATTCTTAATATTATACAAAACAAAATATAATTTTAGTTACTAACTTTGTAAATACTGTATTTTTTTAAAACCGGTAATATAATAATTAAATACATAATTAGTGTACCTCACAAAATAATAACTTAACAACAATATGTTAACTATAAATTAATCAAATACAAACCACCCTTATGACTTTTAAATTTTTTGATGGACCAAATAAATAGTAACTTTTATAGTTAAATGAGTAAAAATCAATAGGTATTATTTAGGTACTTATTGATAAATCACAAAAATTCTCCCCATCTTAGGTAAAAGAGAAAACAATCATTTACTTGTGGCAAAACTAATTCGTAGTTAAATAAATTACTTGTAACAATTTGTAAACATTATTTTCTTTTATATTTTTAAATACATTAAATTAAATTATTTATTATTTATTAACAATTTTTTGAAACTATAATTTCTGCTCTGAGTGATGTAATTTCAATTATTAAATAAACATTGAAATTGCAGGTACTATTTATGTAATGTAATACTATTAACATACAATGTTCAATCGGTTTTAGATTTATTGTTAGACTTAGGTTTGAGTAATCAGTATTCTTATGCATTGAAAGTGGAGGTATAAGTGACCGGCTTTCTGTGATCATTACTTGCCATGGTGGATCAGAAACCTCACTTTATCGATATTGAAAAAATGTATTATTTAATTGGTTGCTTTAAAAGAGACGCTGTCGATACAGTACGTGGGATTTCTATTTCCGCTAACGGAACTTCAGTTCACGTGAACTGCCTTGGAATCACAGATCACAGTATGATAAGTTCCCCATCCTAGCGAACTCTGTTGTTGAAGGGCTTTTAGCCGCGCCTACGTCGTTTCAGTATTCGTAAGCAAGTCTCATGAATTTAATAACTATTTTTGATGAGATTGATTATGTATTAAGGTCATTGAATATTCCCAACATGGGTGATTTCATATTGTTCTCGATCGCTTCCTAACCATATCAGAGTAGCAATCTGTGACTTCTAGTTTGAAATCACCTGTGAAAAATCACTGCTACAGCTACTTCATGCCAACACTAGCGCAACAATCAGTTTTAGTCAACGGTCGCCAACGACGCTTTTGAACGATATATTTTAATTTCTAAAAATAAATATATTTGTTAATACAAAATATAATAAAGTAATTAACCGAAAACGCTATTAAAGGTTATTTCTAAACCCCGACACTTACAATTAACCATATTATTATATATCATGTGTTTTTCTTTTAGTTTAATATGTATTTTTATTATTATAATACGTTGTTTGACTTTTTAGTGATAATTAAAAAATGTTTTTTCTATTGTGATTTTTATTATAAAAATGTAAACGTTTTACATGTTTAAAAAGCAGATCACGTGATTTTAAACTTTGTTATGTTCCATCGGAAACCGAACTCAGAACATGCCTATGATTTTTTCAGTACAAAAGTATGTTGATTTTTCAAGAGATAAAAATTTATCAGCTAGTTTATCAATTTTAAATAAAACGATATCGATATTTATGTCAAGTATTTCATTATTTTTATCTAATTCAAAATTAACTTGTTCAATTTCTTTTCGTACAGTTAGTTTATTTTGGTACCAGAACCACAATAATTTAATAAATGAAGTATTTCTTAAAAATAAAATTTCCATAGAAACAAACAATATTTTAGAATCACAATTTATAAACAACAAACAGTTTAAATTTAAAAAATTTGTACATAAACAAAAAAATAAAATAAAAATATTTATCGTTTCTATTAAAATTTAAGCTATGGATAATTGTACTGAAATAGAACTTCCCAAGCAAATTTTTAAATATCAGGTACATGTTATGCAATAAAATAAATATTGAATATAATTCAGAAAAAATTATAAAATAATTTGTAAATGTTTAGGAAAGTCCGAGTTATTGTCCAAATTTTGTACCAGAATGCACAAATAAAAATATTGTTTCTTGTAAAGCACAACAGTTTTTGAATGAAATTGAGGAATATTATTCAAAAGATCAAAATAATCCTAAATTGTTGGAAAAATCAAAAATTATTATTCATTCTTTAATCGAGGAAAATAAATTACAAATTTCAGCAATAAAACATCATAAAGAAAAATTTGAATGTTGTTTTGAAAAATTAAAAGAAGAAAAAGAAATGTCCAAAAATAAAGACTCTGAGTTATATAGAATGAAAAAAGATTTATCTTTTCTGTCAGACGAACTAAATGAAATCAATAAGCATAATAATTTTTTGAGTTGTAATATTGACAAAGTTTCAAAGGATTTGATATCTAAAACAATAAAACATAAAGAGTTGTTGAAAAAATCAGATGAGTTAAATGAAGAATTAAACAACGTAAAATACAGTTTAAACTTGAGAATTGACGAAAATAAATGTATTAAAAGAGAGCTTAGTGAAAAAATTCAAATTATCGAAGCTGGAATAATAATTAAGCAAGAGTTGGAATTTAAATTATACAATTTGGAAAAAAAATTAGAAGAATCAAAAAAGTTATATGATTGTTGTAATAATAAATACAACGATTTGATCTTATTAAATTCTAAAATTGAAAATAATTTACAAAATGAAAAAAATTATAACTGTAAAAAAGCTATTTATATTGATGATTTGAGCAAAAAAATACATAGTTTAGAAATTATAATAACAGGTATTGAAGATCAAAAAGTGTTGTATTCAGAGGAAATTTCCAAGCTTAAAAATGATAAATGTGAAGCAGAATTAAAACTAAACGAATTAAACAGTATAAAAAAAAAACAAAATAACGAATTAGCTATTACCAAATCTGAACTAGCTTATACTACAGAATCTCTAATAAATAAAAACAACTCCCAGATTAAAAAAAATGAACAATTACAGCATAACATTGAAAACCTTGAAAAAGAAGTACAGAGTTATAAAGTTCAACATGATATTTTAACAAATCAATGTATATTAAGCCATAAAGATTTAAAAGAATCACAAAATATAATTCAAGTGTTGGAGACTAAAATTAACGAAATTGTGAGAGAAAATAAAATGACACTCGATGAATTATCTCAAGAATGTGATTTACTGAGAAGTGAAAACTGTGAATTCTTGAAAAAAATCAATGAATTAAATGAACAAATAATATGTGTAAATAAAGAAGAAAATCATGTGCGAAAAGAGTTAGCTGCGTGCAACGAGAAACTTTCGATTGCGAACGATGAAATCAGTTATTATGATTTAGAGATAAAATGTATGAACACGAAATTGGAAATAACGACTGACAAACTGACTTGTACTGAACGAGAACTAGAAGAAATAAAGTTGAAACTAAATAATGAAACGCATATGAAAGATAAAATGAATGAAAAATATTGTAGTATAAATTATGATTATTCATGTACTCAAAAAAAGTGTCAGTCTGCCGATAATAACAGGTTATTGATTTTATAAATAATATTATAGACTATTTTGTAATAATTTATAGATAATATGAAAATAGTTATTTTCTGGTAACGATATATTTTTTTTTAAATATTTGAGAATAATTTTTTTTATCATTAAGTAAATTGTTAGTGTTTAACTTAATTTTTTTTTTATTTAAATTTGTTTAGTGATTTGTATTTTAATTTATACAAAATATTTAATTTAATTTATAGGTAATTATTTTAAATTTATATCACATGTCTCAAGCACAATATAAAATAAAAATATTTTTCTTAATAATTAAATCTATAAAATATTTTGTAAAATGCACGTTAACTCCAATTTATTGAACTTAAGAAATTCAAAAATATAGTATTTGATAATATTGTATAATATATTATCATACTATATTTGTAATATAATGATATATCTTTTGATTACAGACTCAGTAATGAAAATTTGATGTCATGTAAGATTGCAAGAAATGTTAACAATGGTGAACAGACAATAAATTTGAAACTAGTTGACGCTGGTTCACAGACACATGTGTGTCCGATCATATGTCAGCCTATAACATCAACAAGTTTTGACTCAACATTTAATTCCAATAATTCCAATCCGTGCAAATTTAAACAGTGTGACAACTGTAATATTTGTATTAGTTCATATGATTCTGATAAAATTAACAACAACCCATGCCAGATGGATAACAAGAAGTTATCTCTTATTAATGCTTCTGATAACTGTTCTTGTTTTGTTAAATCAAAAATCTCAACAAAAAGTTTTGGTTTTTTATTCGACAAAGAAAATCTTCAACGCCAACTGAACGAAATGAAACTTTTATTCCAAAAAAGAGAAGAGGCAGCAAGGAAAGAATTATGTGACACAGAACAGACTCATTGCAATAAGGATATGATAAGTAACAAATATCTGGATGACACAAAGAAACAATACCAACTACAATTGGATGAAGCTAACGCTCAATTAGAAACGTATGAAACGATAATTCTGTATAAAGATTATGAATTGAAAAACTTTCAAATACGAGGTAAAATAATATTTATTTAAATTAAATTTTTATAATAATAAAAATATTAACATTATATAAAAGAACATCAATTCAAAAAGGAAATAGAGAAACTTAATGAAACAATACAGTTAAAAGATAAAAAAATCGAATCTGAACAAAAACTAGTAGTTTCTGTACGTAATAGTATGAAAGATTATGAAGAAAAATTACAAAGTCTTCAAAAACCACCGGAATTAGAAAAAATAAACAAACATTCGTCTGATGGAAATATTCAATTACTCACGTAAATACAGACTTCTATCTATATAATATAAATAATAATTAACCTAGATACATTAATCATGTTTTAGTGATGACAATAATAGTCCACGTGAAATATTTGAGTTGGACAATAAATTAGAAACATCTCAATCATTAACGAAAAAAAAACGAATTTCGACAAAGCGAAATGTTAATAAAAGTGCTTGCACATTGAAAAAGTCTAAAACTTTAGCCAAAATGAAAAAACATAAATATGGACCCAAATTGTATTTACCTTGTTGTATTGGATCAACAAATCCTTGTAATAGACAAAAAATGGTAAACCTATCATACCAGAAATATTTAAAAGCTGGTTATGGAGTTTTGAGATGCAATTCGGAAAAGTCATTTGGAGAAGTGGCGTTGAAAAATATCAAAGTGATAAAAACGGAGTTGTGATGATTAAAAAAATTAATAATACAATAAAGGTTCAAAAAGCGGTCAACAATCATGAACGCAAGGAGATAAATTTCTTCAGTAACAGTATTATAATGAAAAATTCAAATATTATTTAATAAATAACATAACTTGAATCGTAGTAAAACAGGATACTGCATAAAAACCAGTGTTCCAAATGAATAATATACGCCTATATGTAAACTTGTTGGCAACATTTAAATTAAATAAACAATCGAAGATGTTTTATATAATTTTTTTTATTTTTATTCGGTTACGATATCAAGTTCGTTCTCATCGAGTCCTGTAACAGCGATTTAACAACAAAATGCTTTTTAATTTTAAAAAATGATGACACTTAAGGCTAATTCGTATTAAAAATTACATGGTAAATTTAAAAATAATAGAAGATGAAATTTTCCGACTAATTAAAAAAAATAATATTATGCAAAATAAATAAATTTAAATAACAAATAATTTTCTAATATGTTGTACGGATTTATAGAAATCATTTTCCGTCGTATCTACGTATAGTTATCATTTATCATTCATAATTATTTTCATATTAATTATAAATTCGTAAGAACAAATTTACTAAGTTAAAGACTTAGAATACAATATATTATTTTGTTATAAAAAGACAACAACATTTTGCTTATATAGAATCGCCTGGGACCGTCCAAATGTTCCACATTAGCATAGTTTCTGTCTTGATGAAATTCACAAAAAAAAAATCTTGAAAATTAAGTTGAAGATTATTTATTTTAAATTCTGAGCAGAGTAATGAATATATTGATTTTACAACGTGTGTTTTTTCTGTATGTCGTCACCTTTTGGAATAGTCAAATCATTTTGATTTTCAACTTAAGACGACCTAACCATACAAGCATTCCAAGCCATCTGCCTCCACATGATTGCTAAAGCCTCTTGGTATGTTACAAATGTTGCTCTACATAATGACCTACAAATCTCTATCATAAGACAAACAGCTATCAGCCTGTACTCCAATATTGAACACCACTCCAACACTCTCATTTCTCAATTTCATTCCATTGCCTGAAACGCGAATGCCCCAGAGATCTTCTCAACGTAAATTACACTTAACGTGCTTATTATTATTTCTCTCTAAAATTACCACCAATGTCCAAGAATTTTTAACTTGAAACTCCTTTTCATTTTCTTTTCCTCACCGCGTCATGTAATATTTATTCATTCACAATTACTGAAACGATAAGTTTATTTTTATTTATATACCTACTCTAAAGTAGAATATTTAAAAAAAATGTATTATAGCATTTGTATAAGCATATGGCCAACATGGAATCGCTTTGATGCTTTCGTTAAGTTTCAGAATATTTCATGACTATATTAGTGCAATAGATATATTTGTTTATTTATAAATAAATACACAAGAAGAAAATCCAATTTTAGTCTTAAAATTTAAAGATAATAGTGTTACCAAAAAATATTTTATAGGTATTTTTGAAAATTAAATAATAGATTCGTACTATATAAAAAAATTTTAAAAATTGAATAAGTTATAGGGATATTAACTTATTTATTACAGATTGGAAATAACCCTTCTGATTTATTCTATTATGTAGACATTTTTCATGGTTATTATATTTAATCAACTTTTTATATTTTTACATTTTCTATGGTTACACAACTAGATGATTTTTTTCATAAATTATAATTTTTGTTTATGTTAATAAACTTCATTAAGAATTAATCTTTATTAAAGATGGCTAAAGTTCAGTTGTGTCCACTTATTCCGTGTAACTTCGCCATGTTCTGTGGAATGATATACATAACCGTCATTATGGTTGGCACATTTTATTTTTCAAGCATTATGTCATATCAGCAACAGTCATGTAAATGTTAACTGTAATACTGTATAATGAATAAAATAAATACATATAAAAGCGAAAAAATATATCAGATTTTTTATAAAATATAAAACAAGATTATAACAAATCATAACATTTTTAAACTTGTCATAACTAGACAAAAAAAGATATTTAGTTTATTAATAATAGATATTTTATATTTAGACACACATCTACAGCGGAACAACTCATCAATGTATTTAGTGATGAATCGACGTTTATCCTTTGATCTTATCGATGATACAAAAGAAAAGTACTATTATGTAACATTAAGTCATCCTCAAAGTCAGATGAGAAAAATAGGAAACTCTTCGTGGTTAATCCATTTGTGCTACGTGCAATGGCTGTTGCCTTTATTTCCGTTCTGTGATAAACATCAAAAACAGAACCATTCGCTATTAACGGTACCAACGAAATTGACGAACAAAATGCAATCGGAAAACAGTACATCTATTGAGTTTGATCAGAAAGGTAAGTACCTACTCTTATATTCATTATTACATATTACATAATAAAAAAATAATAATACAGACAAGTTAACCAATGACAATCAGTACCTCACAAGATCCCAGGGAAAATACAATATTATAGATCTACCATTTTCAAGGCTGGTGCCTTTGGTCTACGTAAGCAGTGCATTCATTTTCGGCGTTGGACTTATTATCATATTAGTCTTCTCATTATGTGTTTGTATACGATCATGTGGAACTGATTGTAATAGTTAGTGTTCATTTAACTGGTATTAAGTGTTAAAATATAATTCAATGAGATGGGTGTATGTTACAAAACAAAAATGTACGGAAGAAACAAATAGCAGAACTCAGCTCATTATTAATGTTACCTGAAAAAATAACATTTCTGCAATGAAAACATATCAAAAGTATGCTAAACATCGATGTAGAGACGTTAGAAAAAATATTTATTTTTTTTTTTTTACATAAACAATACTTATTACAGCAAAAATTTAGTTATTATATGTACGTAGTATTGTCGCTGCAAAGTGTTGCCAGTGGGCGGCTTCATATTCAATTTCTCACGTCCTGTATTCTCTTAACACATAAGCTTATTGTACATTACTTGTATAGATTGTTTATTTCTAATACAAAATTTAAAAAAAAAAAGTATTATCGTTAGCTACACAATTTAATATAGAAATCGTGGTACATTGCGTCCAAAAATTCAAGTATTTGTATTAAGTCTTCTGCTTTTTTATCATTAGGCCAGTCTTCGTTTTTAGTAATACTTAAGGAATACTCATCAGGTTGACGCCAGGTATTTATCAATCTCTCTATATATTTACGATTGTTAAAACCGAACTGTTAAGAAGCGACTGCATTGTAACATTTATTCCAGTAACATTAGTAATGTCCCTTTTCGTTTTATTGAAAAATCGCATGACCATAGGTTTAAGTCGATAACATCTCCATTTTTAATATCTACAACTGAATGGATTTATCAATTTCGTTAAATTCTGCCAAACAACACGTTGACGCAAGCGATTCAAATATAAAAACAGATAATATTTATGTAAGTAAACTAGTTGAATAATTTACGGTCAATAACCCTTTTTCAAAAACAAAAAAAAAGGTATCTTTAACTTCTGGAATCATTGAAAATGATCAAATTAATTGTTACAAAGCCCACGAAATCGAATACAATCCACAGTGAAAATAATTAGCTTGAATTCTAATGAGTTAATATTCAAAAGTGCCGATAAGGTTTTTCCCCTTTTGGTTAATAAATTAGTCAAAATAAACGATTGTAAAGTCTCTGTATATCCATTGTTACTCTTTTATAGGATAATTGTAACCAAAGAGTTAGTAAGTTATCTCGAAGTATACCTTTAATATAAATTAAGTCTATATCCGACATCATTATTCGATAATAACGGAAAAACCATGAGAGCCACATTATATAATATATTACAACTGTTAATATCGAATTTAATGAATATATTATTGACGGCGGATTTCTTTTGAATTGCGTTGTATAAAGTAAATTCTATGCATTTTCCGTTGTTTTTCAAACACATTATGGGTTTATGGGTCAAAAACTGTTGTAATATTTAATAAATACTATATTAACACTAAAAACATAAAAGCAATGAAACATCTAAAAATAACTCCAGTCCTTTCGAAATCATATGAAGTTTGTGTCGATGAAAGAATGATTGTTCAACTGCTTTTAAATCGTATTAAAAAAAAAGATGCAAATGCATCAAGTTCCGGACCCTAGTAATTATCATCAGCTATCTAAAGATCACGATGATTTTGAATATGAAGAGCTGAGTAGAATATTGAATTAATTTAAATTCAACAGCGTTTATGTCAAAAGAGAACAGAAAAAACCAGTTCTTATGGAGTATATACCACACGTAGCACTCATCAACATTGAAGACTTAGGCTGCCCTCGATTGGATCAAATATGCGTTGACAAAACTTTACCTTGCTGTATTTTTCATATGAAATATAATCTTAAACAATGAATATTTTATAAAGTATTTGTTATTAGAAAATGATTTATAAATAATTTAATTTAACTGTACTTATACAGATACTGTAGGTATTTTTCAGAGTTGTAGTTTCGAAGTACGTTTTTTAGGGAGCAAGTGAGGGTATTATATTTTTTTTTTTTTGGTCACTAGGCAAGTGCATTCTTTGCCATCTACAACGGGCTCTGCGTTTTTCTGAAATTAGTTGTGTTATGTGAAGAGGTAAGTCTTTAGTGTTTTTAGGGGTATTAGAGAGCATTTAGGAAGAATTTCGTGCTGCGTTTTGAAGGACCATTGTGAATCTAACTGCATTTTCCAAATCTGAAGGTGTTTTAAGGGGATGTTTAGTAAAATAAGGTCGTCTATAGTTTGGCTAAATTTTTTCTTGTTGGTTTTCCTTGGAGTTAAAGTATGATGAGTAGTCGTAGTAGTAGACAATTCATTTAAGATTATAATTAATGGTATGTGGTCGGAATAAATCTAAGAGATTTGATATGGAATGATTTATATGACCGAGGAGGGAAGTTATGAAGAATTCTAGAACATCAGGTTGTCTATTGGCATGTGAGGGCCAATATGTAGGGTTAGATGGGGAAATGATTTTTAAATTGTGATTGAGTAAAAAGTTATTGAGTAACCGACCTCTTATGTTAGGTGAACTAAAGCCCCATCGGGGATGTTTTGAGTTAAAGTCGCCGCCTATTAAAAAGCTGTTGAATCTACTTAAAAATAAATAAATAAATAAGTGTAATGCCCGCCGATAATATATTTATTTTTATTTTATTTTATAATTTTTTTTATATATATATATATTATTTTTTTCGTCCGAGTTCCTGTTCGATTGACAGTCTCAAAATTGTGTGCATGAGCGCGGACGGCGTCCGGTACCCGATAGTGTTGGACAACGCGTAAGCGTTCGGCGCCGGTGTGCGGTGGTCTCGCGTCTGCCCGCGATTGATGCTGCCGAGCATCACGAGCCTAGGCGCCTACTTTTGGGAACAGTCGAGCGCCACGGCCAAATAGCCCGGTCCCGACGACAAACGACTTGCTGATTCAAACTTTGTTCATGTCTTTTCAAATCATCTTTGCATGTAAATACGTATGAACTTTCCTCACAGTTAAACATTTTGATATTAAATTTTTTATATTTATTATAAGAAAATAAAAATTTCCCTAAGAATAATAGTTTTTACAAGTATTAGAATAACCCCATGTGGTTGGCTGCAAATGATAACAATAATAATATCACAGAATAACCAAAAAGGACACTTTTGAAGTTTAACACAAATTCTCATGCGGTACAGATTTGCATTACCTGTTGGAATATCATTGCTGCCGGTAAAAAGATATTTCCCATTATTTTATTTTTCTAACAAGACTGTTATTCTAAAAATTTTGCAGACCTTTAAAAAATGTATCTTAGAGTAACAGATTAATTTAAAATTTAGATAATAATTGTTAAATAAAAAATAAAATCTTGTCTTTTTTTTAAAGCACCTATTAATATATCATCGTTATTATCATTTTTAAATTATAGTTTGATTTCTAATTAATAAAAAAAGCAAAATTTAACTGATAATTAATTACCATAAGTTTATTCATATTTCGAGTAATTTTTCGATTCTCTCGATAAGTAATAATAGTCGACTATTCTTATCATACGGAAAAACAATTTCAATTTCGAGTGATTTTTCGAGAAATTATTAACCATTCGATTATGTCCATCACATTTTCATTAAATTAAAATGTTTGTAAGTATTAGCAAATCAGTTTAACTAGACAAAAATAAATTTAATATTTTTGATAAATTAATGGATACACTGATATTTCAATAAATTGAACAGCTTTGAGTGCTCAAAAAGTGTCTTTTCTAGTCATTCTGTGATGATGTACGATGACACTGATTACAATGATAATTAATAACAACGTGAAAATTGATAAGAATTTGATAACTGATTAAGGGCACTGGGTACGGTAGCATCAGCTAGGAGCGGCAACGGCATGGGAGAGGAGGGTAGTGGGTGGCGGCGGCGGCGGCTGAGGCTGAGGTTTTTGAATCGAATATTTCATCCTTCATCCTACTCGCGGCGGCCGTCATTCCCAGTCTGGCACCTTGTCGGCAGCCGTGTAATACGGATTGGCGCGAGCCGGTGCGCGGCCGCTGATAGAAAATTGCGGTGCGCTGGCGAAACGGGACGCCGGGCCCTGGGCGGGAAAGTAAGCGTTGGGCGCGGGCGTGCGGTGACCACGCGTTTGCCCGCGGTTGACGCTGCCGAGCATCACGGGCCTGGGCATCTGTTTTTTGACACGGTCGAGCGCCACAGCTGAGTAGCGCGCCGGTCCCGGCGACGAGTACCACGCTACTCCCCGTCTACGTCCCGGTTCAGTAGACCGTCCCGAAATCGTGTACATAGGCGCGGACGGCAGGTTCGGCGTCCGATTTCCGACGGTGGTGAACAACGCGTAAGCGTTCGGCGCCGGTGTCCGGGTGAACTTTTTCATGCAGTCCCGTCTGGTCCTGTGTTTTTGAGAACGATGTGTAGAGTTAAAAGGGTATATGACACAATGATTACCGACATTTCTACATTTTTGTACACGTCATATATGAAAGCGTTGTTATAGTTCTTAGTATCGAGTGGTATAATCCAGGGCTAGAGGTCAACTCGAAGAACAAAAGTGAAGAAATAACGGTAAACAAAGTACGTCCGTGAATTTGGGCTTTTAACTTAATTCAAACATTTTGAAAATTATTCTCAGAGTTAGCAAGTAGTTTGCAAGAATTTCAAAGTTATTTTTAGAATTTGCAAGTGTGAATTATGGAAGTTATCAGAGGTAAGGATATTGCAGGGCCAACTTCGCCCAACGCTTCAATGTTAACTCAGAAACTCCAAACCTATTTCAAAACATTTCTATTAGTTATCAAAAATTTGCAAGTCCGTTTTAAGAATTTGAAAGTAAGTACTTAGACCAGATTTCAGAGTTTAATATCCAGCCCATCGATATCTATTTCATACTTGCAATTTCTGAAAATGGACTTGCAAATTCTCACGAACAACTTGGTAAATCTGAGCATAATCTTCAAAATATTTGAACAAAATTGAATAGCCAACTTCTCAGACAGAACAAAATGCAACGAAAAAAACAGAACGCTATGAATACTACACAATGTCCGGAAAGTATTTACAGTACTCATAAGAATGAAATCGAATAAAATCAAAAAATTCGTACATGTGTAACCCATGCAGTTAATTCCGGTTAATCTTTAACGACGACAAAAAACAAATAATCGAATAGGATTTTTGTGATAAACACACACACAGAGACTTATTTCGATTATCGAATCATTTTTTCTACAATGATTTTATCGTTCCCTTTAAAGAACAATAACTACGGCCTCAGAGCAACTATATAATATTATTTATGTACATTGTACACCGTATACCATACGGTTAAATCTCGTAAACAGAATAATTTTATACCCTACGGCCAACTAAATGAAATTGTAAATAACTTTCAAACTCTGTATTGCAATGAAGTGTAAATACGCGTAAAAAAATAAACTACATATTTTATAATATATCCATAAAATTCAAATCTAATATTATAGGGTGATCATTAATACTACACATAATTGTAGCCAATATTGTTATACTAACCCTATGGAACACAGCGGCATAGTAGGCATAGTGACAGACATACAGGGCACGGTGTTGTACGCGGCCGGACCTGGAGTGCGTGTCGTTTTTATACTACTTAGCTTGGACGCTAGCGAAGCTCCGATCACTTTGACCGGTCCGCGACGGGTGACGTTGCTCAGGTCGTACTTGGGACCGGGCACTCGAAGTGACGTCTGTTTTAGTGGCAGCCGCATGCCCAACGTGTAAGCAGGCGCCCTGTGAAAATTCACGTCAGCCATGTCGTAAAATTGTGAACGCGTAAAATCTCTCTACTGCGAATAAAAAAGTTTTGAAAAATAGATTCTTCAAATAACTACCATAGAAACCAAAACATCTTAATAAATAATAATAAAAGTAGTTATACTTAAAAACACTGTAAAATAAACAAACACGATTATTGTTACTATTTTTTAAATTGTTTTTTTGGCCCTCATCATTGAAACGATGCGAGAACCATATTATATTTGATTTGAATTGCTGTTTACTAGTTAAACAACGTTTATGCTAAGAAGGGATTTTTGACGAGTGCACCGAGTGTGTTGTGTTACTTAAATTATATGCGTTTGGGAGGTCATGTCTAGAAGCAATAGGAAAAATAAATTTAAAATGTAAAATACTAAACAAAAGCGGAAATCTAAATACAGTGGTCACTTTTGTAGTAATTAAAGAAAAATTAATTCTAATAGAGTCAAATTTAGAACTAGGTTTGATAAAAAAAATATATATGATTAAAAACATTAGAATAGAAGAGGTAAATATTACTTAATAGGTGTTCTAACCTAACCTAACCTAACCTTTTATTAATTTTTGTTTACAAATATGTTTACAAGTATTATCATTATGATATTTAGAATTGCATAAAATTGAAAGAATACGAGTAGGAACATTAGTATATTACATATTATTACAATTGTAGACTTATAATTTCACTGTCCATAATACTTTTTCATTAAAAGCTTTTGAGGCAAACGATATTGATTTGTCACTATTTCATTACTTATAAAGTTTGCCATCAGTTTTTTCTTATTTCATTACATATTTATAATGATTGTTGTCCGAGGCAATACTAGAATAATAGCATAATTATAGCCATGTGAATTTGTTTTTTAGGAAATCAAGACCATTGATCAGAAATTTATAGTGTCTGAACATTGAAAAATGGAATGTGATCCTAATCACGCCCACATTGAGAAAGCTTGTAAACGTTATCCATTCCCAATCCTCATGAATGGACTAAATTAATAAGTTTGCTGGAAAAAATAATTTTACAGTCGTTGAAAATGAAAGAAAATGATGACTTTGATTTTAATAACCTGTTAAAAAATAAATATGAAAATGATAATGCATTATTTGTTTTTTATGATATAAAAAAGCTTAGGTACACAAAACAAAACAACACAATACAAAATAGTTACAATACAAAATATCTTCAAAAATAGAAAATAATTTTTTTACTTAAATATGTGAAAGGCCATCAACAACTGTTCAAGACGAAAACGTTTTGAAAGTGCGTGCGCTGCTGCTCGAACAACCTCATCTTACCCTTCGTATCATAGCATAAAAACTTAACACTGGTAAAGATGCAGTAGGTACGTACGATTTTAACAGAATAAATGAACCGTCGTAAAATTTGTTCACATTTTGTTCCACATTTTTTGACCAATAATAAAAACAAATGTGTCTTTCTTGCGACCGAAATTTCATTGAAACTGCCTATTCACCAGATTTGGTTCTTGCAGTTTATTTTTTATTTCCAAAACTCAAGTTGAAGATGAAAGGTCACTTTTTTAACGATATTCCTGTAATTTAAAGAGTTTGTACAAAGCAGTTACAAACAATTCTGCAAAATGAGTTCTCCAGTGCGTTTGAACAATTTTACCGGCGGAGTAAGGAGTGTATAACTAGATAAAGACTATCTAATATCTGTAGAGGGTTGATGTAAATAAATTCGTTTATTTTTAAATGTGTTTTTAAAAACTTTGATTCAGAAATTTTTTGGACATACTGAATATGAGTTCCTAGATAGTCCACTACCAGTATCTATACCTAAACCCACTACCAAATGAAGTATTCTTTTATATAAAACATTTAAAAAAGGTAAAACATCGGATCGTGACTTGATCACTGCACCACTCTTAAAATAACAACTACCTAATACAATAATACTGTTATATCTCATATATATTCAACTAGATACTTTACCTTTCTTACATGCTATCTATTTGGAAACACACACAAATAATTCTTACACAAAACAAGTAAGCCTCCTGAAAATCCGTCTTCTTACCGACCTATAAGCTTTCTGTCTGTCGTAGACAAATTATTCGAAAAATTATTCCTGAAAGGAATCTCAATAATTGCCACATAAAATAAAATTAATACAGACTTTCAATTCGAGTTCAAATCAAAACACTCCACAATCCACCACTTACATAGAAATGTCGATCTAATTTTTTTAGCATTCGAGAGCAAAGAAAGTTTGCATTAGTATTTTCCTCGATATCGCGCAGGCTTTCGAGCGAGTAGGCACCCAGACCTACTCTTTAAACTAAAATCCTTCTTTTCCGCTCCATATTACCTACTAATCAAAGCCCATCTGTACCAAAAAAAAAAAATGTTTAATAAAAATCAACGGCGCCTTTCTAACTCTCAAATAGCAACTACAAGTGCTACCTAAGGCCGTGACATAGCTCCTTTCCTATTCAATGTTTTTACCCGTGACCTAACTTTAAACGAAAACACTCTAATTGATACATTTTTGGATGACTCTAATATTCTAGTTATCGACAAAGATTTCATTTAAGCTGCCCAAAAATCCAAAATCACCTCATTGTGCTTAACATCTAGTTTCACGACTAGAAAATTCTTTCTAAATATCTGAACAATTTTAGTAACAAGAATCAATAAACAGATTGCGACTAAAAACGTACAAACCTCAATCAACCACATATCTAACTGTATAAATAGATTGAAAATCAAAATCAATACTGATAAATCGGTGCATATTAATTATACACTACGTAAAACTAAAAACATCCAAGTGTAGCTGGATCACTCGATAATCCCACAAAAAGATTCATCTGAATGCACTTTGACTCGCGCCTTAATTGGAAACACCATGTCCGCCAGAAAAAAATACAAATAAAAGAAAAAATTTGCAACTTGTACTGGTTAGTTGGAAGACATTCTATATAGGTACACTAGACCTGACAAACAAACTACTTCTATATGTAGCTATTTTTAAACCGATTTGGACTTCTGGCATACAACTGTGGGGTTATGCCAGTAAATCCAACATTGAAGTCATTTAACGCCCTTCATTCCATTGTTACAACATACCGGTTCAACAGGAATGAAATCATTCACCAAGATTTGAATATTTTATCTATCCAGGACGAAATCAAAAACTTAGCCAATAAACATGTGAAAAAACTTGAGTTACATCCCAATACAACTGCTAAGCAATTTCTTAACAACTCGCAAGACATTAGGCGCTAAAACGTCTAATGCCATACGACTTAGTTTAAGTGACTTAGAATAAGAAAAGGGGCTATCTCGTTGGAGATACAATCCCAAACATGTTTATGTATGATATATATTTAAGTAATTATTATTATTATACTATTATTTATAATTAAATAGGCATCGAATTTTGCATAAAATGCATGTTGCTATTTTCAATATCATATACATGCAGTCAATGTGTGTCCACAAACCATTAATTGATTAAGTATCAAAATTTTACACTGCATATTTTTGCATATTTTAACAAAAAATTGTACAAATATACAGCTAACGATTCAAAAAAGTGTTGATTAAAAAAACAGATTATAGGTACGTTTATATAATATCAAATATTTTACGTCTCAAAGAATAACCTTAGATAATTTATTGTTTTTCCAATTAACATACTAAATTAAACCGTACTTTTTTCCTATTTATATCACCAATGTATTTGCTATTTAGTTAAAATAAAATATTTTTACAATTTATTACCTAATGATTAAAAATTAAATAACAATTTAACAGATTATTTGTTTGTATTGTATATTTAATGTATTATACATCTTATACTTTTTGTTCATGAAAATGTAAATAAAAATAATAAATAATTATTACTGCAAAATTAAAATTAAATATACCTAAAATTTAATAAAAATTGAAATTTTATTTTGTGTGTTGTGCATTTTTTTCTTACATGTTTTGAATTTTTTTAGTTCATGTTTGCATGCATATTTTACAATTTAAAATACCTACATATTAAACTGGCCTTTACTTATAATTTATCATATTGTACTCAACCACAATGTGTTGTATATATAAAGTTGTTATATGAATGATTGTTTTATTAAAGATATCATAGGCAGTTATAAAAAAAAAATTCTTATAGTCACTAATCCAAATTAACGAACTTTTTTAAAAAGTTGAGTTATTTATAAACCAAGTGATATGCACTAGTTTTGATTAAAAAACGAGTTTAAATGCGTCTTAGGTGACTTCGGACAATATTTTAGATTTACAGAAAAATAAAACATAATTTGACCTCTTTAATAAAATAAAACATATTTTATCCTTTTTAATAATATGCTTTGTTAAGTTTATAAATACAATCTTTTTTTTCTTCCTATCATCTAAAGTTTTTCGCTAGATCCCTTTTAATTGTCGAAAAAGGTGAGATCGAACAGTTTACACATATGCATAGAGTTGAGAAGTAATGAAACGTATATTATGAATATCACATAATTTTAAGACTTCAAGAGGTAAGTGGCTAGCTAAATTGTCTCCAATTAATACTTTTAGGCCCTTAAAGTTCCTAATAAAAGGAATAAATAGATAAACCAGTCTTCAAATATGTACATGCCGAACCAACCACTAATATTTCTATTATACCTTGCATCTTCAATGGCTCCTTCAATCCACATGGGATTCAAATGAAGTGATTTGTAGACAATGTAAGGAAGCATTACTTGTCAACTAGCTGAACACGACAGAGGTGCTAGTTTTAGATGAGTCACGAATTACTTCTAATAACAAATTTTTTTACAGTCATCGCAGAAATGTGTTTCATCATAATTAAATATATTAGTATCAAGTATTTTATGGATAACTTCTTGAAGATTATCAAAATATTTCGTTAAAATTAGCCTCGAAATACCACCATCGCACCCCCACTCTTTTAGTTTTCATCCAAACGATAGGTAAGTGATTTCATGCATGACAAAAACAATTAAACTCAGCCAACGTCAGGTAATTTATCTTTGAAACATTTCACCGTTCTACCACATAGATTTGAAAAATTTTGAACAATTATTTAAGTATCAGTAGGTAATACGAAGAGGAAAGCACCTCATTCAGCACATTTAATTAACTCATTGGTTAAGTAATTTTCATTAACTTCCGAAAGAACTAGTTGACCACTTGGTTTATTTTTTGGTTTTCCGTGTTTTTTTTTTTTTTTTAACAATCACACAATGTACTTTTTGGTACTTAATACTTTTCAACCAATATTCTCAAAAGCTGTTTTGAATTTTTATATTCAATAACCTTTTATAAAACTGTAGAATCATAATTTTGGTAACTACAATAACCACGTCCACCTATTTTTTCTTATATATATTTTGCAATTGTCCAAAGTCATAATAGTTTTTAATTTATTACTTTTAAACATTGATTAAAAATCTAAACACACTAGAAAAAAATTGAAAATTTAATAGTCCAATACTTAATATGCAATTTTATAACTAAGAAACAAAAAATACCTAATAATTCACGGTTATATTCTGTAACGACTGTAACGTACGCATAAAGTTAAAACATGATAAACTGACAAACGGACAAAATAATTGTAATTATGTAATCGAAAATATATTAAATGTTATTAATGATAGAACGTTCTGATACACATCGTTTTGTGCCATACGTTCTATCAAAGTGATTACCAATAATATCTTATTTCCAACTGTTCAAATGTACAGTTCACCATAGAAATAAACGCTAAAAATTCAAATTTTGTCATATTGTTCGAAGCTATTCAATATGTTTGAAATGACCCAAGTTTACGCGGTATGTGATGTTCGCCGTTTATATAAAATGTACTATTCAGCAGAAATCAGATAAAAACATGTTATATTTTTTCATAAATTCAATAAGTGAATTAAGATAATATTATACCAAATAAAATGTATAAAAAAATAAACCATGATGTATAAACGGCCTGTAGTATAAATATTAATTTTAAATGTGGCCCACAAGTTGAAAAAGATCAAGCACGCCTGACATAGATCATTTGCTCCATGAATTATGAACAAAATCAATTTAATATCTTATTATTATTTTTTATTTATTTTAATAATTAATAACATCTCTGATAATAATATATTACAATAAAATAGGGCTATAAATCTTCAGAATGATGTCATAATGATAATAAAACTGGTCATATTTGTCAATCTAACATTAGTATATATTAATCACCTAAACATAAAGGTACATTTTTATAGTACCTACTCATCTATGGCATATATATGACATAGAAAGACAAAAATTATTTGTTAAAGATAGAAGTATTAATACAGGTAAGTACTTAGCTTTATTGTGTACATATATTTTCATCAAAACAATTTTAATTTTAAGAAATAATATCTTGTACAGGAAAATTAGGCTTGAGTATACCAGTAAATAGGATACTACATGGCATATGATCTTAAAATATTAAGGAAGGGGTTAAAAGAATTCATTTCCTGGAAAAACATGATATGCCCAATATTAAAGTTTTATAATATTGGTACGAAACCAAGAACCAAAATGATGTAATAAGTATGAATATCTGGATAAATGAAATGATTAATGAAGGCAATGAAAGTCTTATTTTATACTATAAACAACAGAGAGAGAATGGTAATTTTGATTCTTTATCATTATGACTCAATTCCAATCAGAATTATTTTTTAAATTTAGCAATGACAAAATATGTATTAATGGCATACATGGCTTAAATGGATACAATTTTCAATTGTATTCATTAGTTGTTATTGACGAGTACATAAACGGTTATCTTGTTTTATTGTTTTTAAAATAATCTATCAGATACTGCTCTCTTCAAATATTATTTCCTGTGAATTAAAAATGTAATTGGAAACATTACAGCTGATGTTTTTATGTCCGATGATGAACCTAACCTGAGCACTTTATTATGCATGGAGTGAAATAATGGGTCCTGCAAATAAACAAATTGTATGTACATGGCATTTTTTAAGGAACTGGATAAAAAGTTTAAATAAAATTCATTCTAATGATAAAAAAACAATTGTTTTTAAAACTTTAAAACCATTATAATGTGAAACAGATGAAAAGAATTTTTATATTGGAGTATAGAAAGTATTAATTGATAAAGATACAGAAAACTACAAATATATTTGAAATCCATATTTTCTTATTGAGTAGAAAAGTAAACCTATTTCAATAGAAAATATGTTGAGATCAATATAAACATGCTTTTAGAAGCACTGCATAAAAATATCAAACATTGTTATTTAGACAGAAAACAATGGAAATGATTAGACTTTCTATTAATGTACTAAGGCTTTAGTAAGGGATAAACGTTTTTAAAAAATCATATAAAATAAAGCAGATCATTACAGTGCATAACAAAAGTTTGAAAATAATATCAAATATTGTGATAAAAGTTTATGATTACTGGTCGGTAAGATCAGATACAGAAGTTTATTTACAATGAAAAGTAGAAAAGACATTAATATCATGTAATGAATGTGTATTATAATATAATCAATGCAAAATATGTATATATCCATATAAATATCATATATGCATAACATTATTTATTTTAATATTTGCAAACATATTCATGCATGTACTAAAACAGAAACTATGGGTAGTTTGCCGCGAGATGAAAATCAGATTTTACCAGCTTAAAAATTAGTTGTTGATAATGAATTCAAACAAATAATTATAGAATCAGACTTATATAAAAAAACTAATGAAGAAATTAAAAATAAGCTTGAAACAATATATTGTATGGTTTATCGAGCACAATTAGAAGAGACTGATACAACATACATCATTAAGCAATGCGATAATATAATTTCAAAATTGGCAAATAATAATTAATAAGTATTTAAGAAACCACTAAAAATGAAAGGAATAAAAGAAAAATTAAATTGCAAGAAAGATTTTTTTTTAAAAAAAAAAAATGTTTAAGTGAACAGCATACTTTATCTTCTTTAGAGAGCATACACATAAAACAATCGTTTTTAAATATAAACAAAGTAACATTAAATATGAATACAACAGCAATGTTTGATTACTCTTATATTTAAATTAAATAACTGATTATTGACTTCTATTTTATATTCCGAGTAAATCGAATGCGATAATTGTATTGATTTTACAATGATATGTGTTTTTTTCTATTTATATTTTGTATCTAAACATTTTTTCAAGTAAATATAATGCTCGATTTTCAACTTTGGCACCTTTTCAAAAAAAAACCACCATCAAAGTTGAATATCAAAGCATGATGTTGACTACTTACTTATTTATTAATTAAGAAATTGTTATTGTCATGTTAATTGTTAATGTTTTTTTTTTATTTCAAATAAAATAAAACGATTGCTATATAACTTAATACATAACTTATAGTGTTTATACACTATACCATGACTGCATGTATAAAACATAAAAGCACTAACGTTTGTGGTAAATTTTTCCGTGATAAGTGATAAGGTTTAAATTCATAACTACGAAAGTGGTAATTACCATGGTTGTCTATTTGAAATGATAAGGAAACGGATTATATAAAAAAATTTTCCTGCGAAGAACCGTTTGTATATATATACACATGTAAAGTGTGTAAAGACTAAAATTCACTAAAGTAGTGACCGCAACGCAGCTTGTGACCATTAACCGAGTGATTCCTTTTGTGATATTGTTTTGAGTTGACGATGCTCTCATGATAATTCATTGTAATCTTAGTAATCTTACTAAAATATTCAAACTAAATTAGTTTGAAATTCAAACTAAAATCATTAAACTCACATTCCAATACGACTAGGTACGGGTTTTGTTGTCATCATGACATCGCCCCGCTCGGTCGCCGCAACCGACCTAAATGAAGTAAACGACTGCGACTTGGACGACTTGGGCAGCACTTTGGATATAGTACACGAGTGAGTAACGAGTTTTAATTTTTATTGTTATAAATTAAGTTATTATTGTTATACGTCACAACTCACAAGCATGGGATATTCACAATTTTATTATATAGAAACCATATTTATTTATAAGTAGATAGGTATGTTCTCAACACATTTAAGTGTGTGTATGTCTAATCTGTAATCATAACTACTGAATATTTACTAGAAATTGTTACTTTGTCGGAATAAAACACTAAAACCAATGAACTTATTACGTTGGTCATAACTAGAGGACAAATTTTTATGATTTTACATATTTGTTTCTAGTGTATGCAGTTAAATGGAAGCAAGATATCTTTGCGATTCATAAAATACAGAATTCATAGAAAAAAATTTATTTTCCATAAAAAAGCATATTTAGGGGTTAGAGAATAATTAACATGTTATACAATATATGAGAATGTTTTATATATATCGGCATTTTGATAAATACAATATTCACTATACGATTTATTTCTTGGTTCTAACTTCTAATATAAATCAATCATCAGATATTCCTTATCAATGGCGATAGCAGTATAGCACACCAGTTATTTCTTTAGCTGTTACAAATATTCAGTTGTCCGTACCGGTATATGTTGATATTATGTGATATAACTAATAATTAATTAATAAAACAAGTTAATAAATAGTATAATAAATAATACATTTCAACTAAATATATGTATTATTAATATTGAAAGAATATTTTGCATTTTTAAGGACATAAAACATCATATATCTGGTATTTTAAAAGAATATTAAAATAATATAAATCTGACCTCTGATCATAACTATTATTTCAATTGTAAGTAAATTTAAGATTTCACTATTATTTATTATAGTATTAGTAATACCTAAACGGCTATATTATTATATAATTATTTAATTTCTTATGATCTTTTTTCTTTGCAATAGGTAATTAAACATAATACATTCATACATAAACACTCCAACACATGTTTAAAGTATCTATTTGTGAGTGATTGCATTAACTACAAAACCTTTGTACTATAGTTTATATATATATATATATATGTATACTGTAATTTATTATATAAATATATATTTATTATTTAGTTATAGTGTAACATTAGTATACTCATATAAATGTGTGTACCTAACGTCTGATTATTACTTAATCTAATGCTCAATCTAAGGTTACTGTTGAAATTTAAAAGATTATACATTATCAGTTTTTTCATGATGTTTTTATTATGTTTTTTCATGTAACTCTCAATTTACACTATGGAATTTTTTTCTATGTTTATTCATAATACTTTAAACAGTATAGACTAGAAAGAAATAAAGTACAAATTATAATCATTAATACTGGCTGATGATTGGTTGCTTATTTGATAAACAATGGTACAGGTATGACAAATATTTGTACTCACCAGCTATAGTCAGATATCAAATTTTAATTCATTATCACTTATCAGTTAATAGATGAGTACCTAATCGACATTTGAGAACTTACAAATTATAACTTGATTATTGTGGAATAAAAATATATTATCTAGACTCTAGAACAATATTAGGTAAAAATTAAAGTTCCAGTCTCTTTCTTTTATGGCTACTGAATTTCATAATGAATAATAAAAATCATATTTTATAAAAATGAAATAATTATTAATATCAAATAAAATAATTTATTGAATATAACTCAAATATTTATAGATAATTAATATGCAATGCAAATTAAAAGAAGTTAAACATAATTCTATTTAATTAAAAATACCTCATTAAACAAATAATAATAATGTACAATTTAGTAACATTGGCTTGAAAGTAACTTCCTTTAAGTAAATTTTGAATTTTACATTTTACATTTTTAAATATTAAATCATTTTAAACTAATAATAACAATACAAGTAAAATGTATTAACAAATTTATGAATTAGCCTATTGGTATTATGAATAATTTTGTTTTGTTATGTAATTTTTTTGTTTAATTATAATAGATAAAAAATAAAAATAAGTTCCTACTTGGTTCTTAATAAATGAAATATAAAAATAGAATAACTTAATATATAAAATTAAAAGACTAGCAAAATATATTATTAAATTCAATTATTTTAACAACTGTTGAAAAAATATTGTTACTACTGTCTACCACATTATTTTTCCTAGTCAGGTTGTTTACTCGTAACATCACTATATCTATTACAAATATATAATTTTCAATTACAATGATTTTAATATTTTCTTCATTAGTTGCTTTGAAGCATTGTTTTTAAATCTTATTATTATTCAACAGTTGTAGAACTGTGAGCATGTATTTTTATGTTAAATATTTTTATGCTAGTAGGAAATTTTACTTAAATAAAATTATCAAATTTCAATTCTGAAAGATCAAATTCAAACTATATTTTTTAGAGGTAACACAAGAGGCTCATTTGTATTATGTCAACTGGATCACCAGCTTCTATCTATTTCTGTGAACTGTTCAAATACTCAAAGCACCTTTTTTTCTTTTTCCTTGAGATTATAATATAATTAGATTTAACAAGATTTGTATGTATTATCTCTGTTTACATATAGTATACTCACATGTAACAAATGTCATAAAACCCAAGTTTAGCAAAATACATTTTATTTCATTAACTTAAATTATAAAAATAAATTTACTTATTATCATGTTTAAAAGTAAGAATATAAAATAGGCTTTTATTAATATTATAATTTTAAGTAAGTTATGAGCGTTTTAAAATTTCAATATTTTATATAGCTATAACTCAGCTTAAAATTATAATATTAATAAAAGCCTATGTCATTGCCCAGATTAAATTCTTACATTTAAGTTTGATAATAGATAAATTCATTCTAATGTTAAAGCTAACAACATAAAATGGATTCTGTTAAACAAAAATTTGCTATGTTGTATGTATGTAAAACAGAGATAACACATGCGGGTATGGTATCCTCTTAAGTGCCTTAAAAACACTCACATATAATGGGTAACACCTATTAAATATAAGTGGAATTTGAGTAAAGAGTAATTAATATAAGATCATTTTCACAACAAAATTTCTCAAATGGAGACTAAGATAAGACCGATGACTATCAAAAAAAGTAACAATAGGTTTTATAATACTTGATTTTAATTGAAGTGGAAAGAAAATTTTGAATGTAGGTATTCATAAAAAATGTTATAGATCATCTGTTCATTTTGACTTCACTATTCCCTTCCTTAAGGTACCTATATGCTAAATGCATTGGTTGAAATGAGTATAATAATGTATTCTTTGTTGGAATTAATCTGTTTATTAATACATTTGAACCACATTTCCTTAATTTTTCTCTTTAGTTTGGGGCTAAACCCAAACATGTTTTATACACGTTGATCTACTCACTCTAATCATTTCAACATATCAATATGTTTTTCTAACAATTCATAAACTTTGGCAAACCATTTTTAGTTTTTTATCTTTATAACTGAACATCTTGCTCTGTTCACTTATTAATTGTTGTTATGACAAACACTTGTTATTTGTAAAGCTATAGAAAAAATTCACACCTGGTCAGTTGTTTAAATATGATATCTTAAAATTTGTTTCATCAACCATGTTTTTTCTACTGATCTCAAAAGTCCTCAATCAATTAAAAATCCCATTTTTCTATGTGTAAGAAACCAATTTACTAATAATTTTCCTGGATTACTAGTATACATAGCACTTTTTCATGCCTTATTGATTCAGGTATTATATACCCTACATTTCTAGCTAGCTTCAGAGTTACTCATCCTCAATACTAAAAATTATTTTATAATACTCAACAACTAAGTTATGCTATAATTAACTATAACTTTCAGAATTGCATCTAATAATTTCTTGATTTGTGATGGTGAATGTTAACATTGTTTTAATATAGTTAATTTTTTTAATTAACTTTTAATAATTTCTTTTAAGAAACATCTTTCTAATTTAATTAATAATATTATCTAAATTGTAAATTTATAAAATAGTTCATATTAGATTTATTCTTTTTAGATTCTCAATAAGTAAATGTAAAGAAAAAAAATGTGTTAGATGCCATTCCTGTCCAAGAATATACTTAATGATAAAACTTTAGCCCTGGTTATAATAGATTAAAAATAGTATAAAAATTAATAACCAAATAAAGTGTTGCCTTAAATATAATCTTTGTCATGTTTTTTGTATACACTTTACAAAAAAAAAAAAAGAAACTTAAACTTAAAATGTTTGATTTTTTTCATTTATAAAAATATTAATTATTTTTAAATAATATAATACATATCTAATTAGTTTTATGGTGTAATATTTTGAATATTATTACAGTAAAAACGTGTGTAATTCACTATGTATGGTTTAAAAATATTTACCCTTTTTACACGCAAATTTGGATTGTACAAATATCGCATAATTACCTTACAATCCACATTTGTATATTAATTTTTTTAACAATGTCACTACACTATACAATAAATAAAGTTACTAATCTCTCGATTTTAATATTTATAATATTATATGCATATTATTATACATGAATAATGGATGAATACATGACCAACTTATCCTCCTCAGTTATCTATTTTAATAATGATTTTTTTTTTCGTAGTAATCCAACCAAATAATTATTTATCTATTTATCTAATTATTTAATGTTTTTTTTAATGTCTAGAATTGACAAATTTCTTGAAGGTCTTTCATCTGATGGTGCCGATTTACCAGTAAACAATGATAAAAAAATTGATGAAATTAAAACCACTGATTTGGTAAGAATCTTAAATTTTTAAACTATTAAATATCATCTGTTAATATTTTTAGTACCATTTTAAACAATACTGCCAGATATATATATATTATATGAATATTTTATATTTAAGGTATTAAAATGCCTAATTTTTTTTTTTATATGCTTGATAATATTTAATTTGCAATAACCTAAAAAAATAATTAAAATTTTTGTATTCACATCCAATTATCCAGACATTTTTAATATTATATACCTATTATTGGGATTAGTCAAAGAGTACCAAGAGTATATTGAATGTAATTATAAATGTATATGTTACTATTAAGTATGTAAATTAAGCAAATAATATTACTGAGTAATAAATACTCAATAAAACTATTTCTGATCAAATTATACTACAAAATATTGGCTATTAAGTTATGTTAATACCCATTTTGTTCAGATATTGATAAATTTAGTAATACTTTCTAGGTTATGATGATAATTCTGGTCTTTTTCAGCAAAATTTGATAAAAATGTTCATTGAATTAACTTTTTGAATTAGAAATAGGCTAGTATTTTAAAACTGATGTGAAAAAATAACATACTTCAAGCTTTGTAACATGTCAATAATTGTACAGTATTAAATATAAGATACTAGGTAGCAGTTTATCAATAACAACTATATATTATTAGTAAATAGTAGTTATATAGTATAAATCATGGTATTGAACCACTTGTGTCTAATATTTCTAAATACATTCATGTACATAACTTAATCTAATAGTCAATTGATTTTTGTGGTGGGAACATAGGTGAATTACTTTTATGATGATAACTATATTTACCACTGTGTAAAGATTAAAATTATGGTAGTCCTTACATTTTACTTCCATGAATATCAAGATTAATAAATCAGTTAAATTTGTACTATAAATGTATTCATTTTTATATAATCAAATATGAAATTTGTTATTATTTTGAAGGTATTATTTTTTGTAGACAAATAAAGTTGGTGATCGAATAAAATTATTAAGCATTTTAGTTATTTCTATTTTTCAATACAATTAAACAGTATTTTCTTTCATATAACCTAACTCTAGGTAACTCGAAGTTCAAGGAAAAAAATTCGACTTTCTAAAAATGTTATAAAAACTTTTAAAAAGTATGTTTTTATTTTTAAATCATTTTTACATTATACTTGATGGTCTTCAAATTCTTCGTTATCTTCATCCAATATATCGGAGATAATATCAGACCATTCTCCACAAATATCCAAATTTTCATCGACATTGACGTATGATGTAAAAATTTCATTAAGATTTATTTTCTCCGTTAATTTATTCCATTCATTGTTATTATCATCAGAAAGTTCAAAGGAATATTTTCAGTCGAAGTTCAAAAACCTGATTTTGTAAAACAATTTACGATCATTTCATTTTTTACGTGTCGTCATGCTTTATCGCATAGCCGTATAGCATCCAATATGTTTATTACATTTTGATTTTTATCATTTATAGCTGATATAATTTTTTTACTTTTTCTTTTCGGTAAAATATTTTTAAATTATTTATTATGCCTTGGTCTAATGGGACTATAATACAGACGTAGTATTTGGAGATAAAAACTGCACTTGAATAGCATTAAAAGTCGAAGTTAAATTGTGTGCACTAGAATTATCAATAAAAAGTAAGATTTTCCTTTTCTCAGTGATCATTTTTTTTATCTAATTTCATTAACCACAAATTAAAAATTTCAGACGTCATGCAAGATTTTTTTATTTGCATAATAATCTAATGGTAATGACTTTACTTGTTAAAAACATCGTGGTTTTTTTTTATTTACTATGATTAGTCTTAATTTTTCTGTGTCAACATATCGCCCTTAACAGAAGTGCTACTCTTTCTTTGCTAAATTTTTCCCCTGAATATGAACATTTTTTTAGATAAATATTTGAAAAATAATCCTGTTGTTTCGTATACATTAAAAATTGTTTGATGAATAATTTCCCATGAGTTTCGGTAAATTATTAAACCATACGGAACGTTTTTATACATCTACAACGCCACTTTCATCATAAACTTATTTAAAAACAACGTTATTTCTGATTTTCCAATTTGTAAACCACCCACTGCTGGCTTTAAACTGTTCGTACCTTAACTCATGCTCAAACTATTTATCTTTTTATCATAAAATGGATCCATTTATTGGAATTTTTTTGTCAAGACATTGTTGAAACCAGTTTAATAAAACAGGATTCTATATCAGAATATTCTTCTATCGTTTCATTTTTTTCGAATTGCCGAGTTTTATTAAAGTTTTTTAAAGTTAAATCTTTATTTTATTATTATTGTAGACAAATGTACTCGCTGGAATTCCAAAATCTTTGTCTATTTTTTGTTTTTTCTTTTCGCCTTTTTCAATCATTTTAAGCAAGTTTACTTTTTTTGCATGCGATAATGTTATTAATTTTCTTTTTTAAGCCATAATAATCATTGTATTAACATTGTTAAACGAACAGATGGTATAGAACTTAAACTGAAAACCATTGTATAGAGTCACAAATATGTAATCGATCATAATGATCGAATTTTTCAAAAGTCAAAACAAATCATAATATGCGAAAAATAATCACCTCGATAAACTATTTTTAGTACTAAATTAGGATACGAAAATTCTAAATATCGAAAACTTGTCTAATTAATTTTCGAGTTAACAAGATTATTTAAACATTTAGTGTTATTGTTATTTGAAGAGGAATTTCATTTATTTGAGATATCGAGAATTTCTGTAGTTATCAAGGTTCGAGTTACCGAGAGTCGGTTGTATATGGCAATCTTGAAAGTAAAAGCTTTATAAATAATTTTAAATATATAATACAAGTTAAAAAATGAAATATATGGTAGAATATGTTTTATATATATATATATGTATTATAAATATATGGTTTTTTTTATGATTATTCAGGAAGTAGTTAATAACAATAGAACTCCTACCACTCAGATGGATGTAGAATTTGTCGGGTAATATCTTTTTTACTTCAAATATTTCAACATTTTAAAATTTAAATACATTTTAGGAAAAATCCAGCTGTGTTCCAACTTCTAGAAGACCATGAAAACTATGGTGTATATGAACACAATCCAAATGAATGTAACTGGAATGTTTTTTATAAAACACTTCCCCCTGTGAGTTATTTGTATTTTGCAATAAATAATTTGAAATTAAATAGATAGGCAAGTGGATACTGCTCTGCTGTACATTAAATATTAAGTTTTCACGTCGTGGATGTGTTAAATTTGAATTTTATAATTTATTATTATACATAAAAAACAATTCTGAGCAGAAACGTTCTGATAACCTATAATCTATATCATTAAATACATTTCATAATATGTTTTGTGATATTAAAATTAAAGTGATTTATTTTATTATTAGTATTACAGTAGGTGAATTTAAATATTTCCAAACTCATTGTATTTAATTATTATGATAATAGTTAATATAATTTATATCATATTTTACTATTTTTATTATTATAGGGCTGTGCATTTAATGCAGTAAAAACCTTAAAAATGCGCTTTAAATGCCAAAAAATGTATAAAATGTACTTCAAATTGTTTTTAAATGCACTCAAAATTTATATTTTATATTCATATTAATTTACAAACGCAAACGTTTAATTTTTAATTTAATTTAAATTCGAACTTGGAAATTTATTGATTCTCTGGTATGTGAAAGTATTTGTTTAAAACATTTTTTTTTTTTAATTGTTGTAAATATTTGTTTTGTTAAAATAATAGCATACATTATTTCTGCATATGTGTTTGTGGACCTATCTTATTCGTCTTCACTATTTTATTAGTCAAAAAGTGCTCTTTCAAGATGATAAAAATTACTGCCAATTTTTTGCCAATAAATTTTTATATACTGATAAACTCCTTTCTACATTTGTTTGTGTAATAAGAGAATATCGCATAAATAATATGTCATCGAAGCTGAGATCATCTGGGAGAGATGATGTAGAAATTTCAATTCACTCGAGTATTTTCGAAATAGTGCACTTTGCATAAAATTGTGTTTATTTTTCTTTATCATTTATCACTTGTTGAATTTTGTTTTGAAGTTCTGTCTCAATTTGGATAGAATCTGCGAGTAGACAAGTGCACAATTCTAAACGAATGATATTTTCGGGTGGTGTTCCAAAATTAAATTTTATATAATATGCTGAATTGCACTCTAAATTCTGATCCATCGTTAAATCTTGTATTTTTCCAATAGATGTTGCGTCTTCCCGGTTGAGTTCTATGACTACTTGTTTAATTAAAACGTAATGTTCAGAATAATACAAAACTGTATATAATCATGTTTTCCACCTAGTTAATATTGGTTTCGGTGGTAATAGTTTATTAGGGGTAATCGTTTTAAAAATTTGTAATCATTAAAATGCTTTTAAAAATATTTTCTTTATATTCGAAATTAATTCGTCTACTTTGGAAAAATGTTTCTAATTTCTTCTGCTACCCTATGTAGTGCGTAGGCAAGACATGTAACGTGTTCCATTTAGAATAAAGTAATATTAAATTTTTTTGCCTTGGCCATGTATGGGTCTGCGTCTAGCAAAAATAGTAAAACAGTCTCCATTAAGCATTACATGGCCATAATAGTGAAAGCGATTGATTAAATAAGCTTAACTATTGAACCACTATTAATGTTTTCCAATACTATTGAATCTAATAAAAACTTAACCAGAATATCCTATTTCCAATGTTCCAATTACTGTATTTGCAATATATCGGCCTGTCTTATCAATTGAAATCCAAATTTTTTTTATTTGAATCATACATTCTGATTTCACATTAAGTTTCTTTGTAACATTTGTTGACATATGTTCTCCCTAATGTACTTTGGTCCAATATCAATTTATCTATGTATTTTTCTAGAAAATTAGAAATAGTTGGTTACGATTACTTATTTAGTGGTATATTCGCACATAAATAAGCTTTACAAACATCAATTTAAAATGTTGATTTTGATGGCCTTGTAATCAAAGTTAGAGAATATAAAGTTTCTTTATTAATTAATTTTTTTTTTAACACCTAGAATATGCTTATCTCTTACTATGTGCTGTTGTATCATAAACTTTATTTTTACTAAAATTCTCACGGCATATACTTTGCTGTACAATATTTTACCATCTATACTGTAAATATCAGCGCAATATTAGGAAACAATATTAACAATATTAGTACTTTCGTAATATTTACGAAAATTGCGATTTAAATTTGAGCATTTTTACTGTAAGTACCATGCATACTCGCAAACACCTAACAGGTACTTACGACAATGCCGAGTAGTTAAGATCAGTGACGTAAATACGTGGGTACACGACGATGCACCTGCTAAAATAAACTGAACTCAAAATTCTATGAAAATATAATTATATTTTATTGTTTTATTGAATTATTTAATAAAAGATAACAGAACTAAACAAATGATAAAAATATAAAAAATATCGTTGTGTAATAATTATTTTATCATTAATCAATTATAGTCGTACTTAATATTATAATTATTTATAGATAATTGTAAGCAAATAATTTAAGATAAATATAAATAAATGTGCATTTTGCTAATGCGGTCGTTTTTATGTTCATAACGATTGGTTGTCTTAATAAATAATAATCACTAGGGTTAGGATGTTTATGCACTAAAAAATGTATGAATATGTATGCACTTATGCACTAAAAACAGTTAAATATACATAAAAAATTTGAAAAATATGCAATAAAAAATAAAGAATTGCAGACAAAAAAAAAATACAATAAATATATAGAGACAAATTGAATTATTAATAAAATATAAACAAATGGGTCGGTACTATTTATATGTACTCGTTATTGTCTATTAATTTTTCAATTTTCTTATTTACTATATAAAATAAAATTAAATATAAATAAAAAGAGTTGCATTGAATAATTATTGTTTGTTTTAAATGTTTCGTTGTAAATCTTCATCTATTTTGTGTTAATATGTTTTTGAATCTATTAGAATTTGTAAAATACTTTGCAAAACATAGATAATCAAACTTATATTAAATTTAGTTAATAAAATATAAAATTACGGTATTTTTCAGTATTTTGCATTGAAAACCGTCAAATATGTGCTTAAAACAGAAAAAACACAAATTATGCAACTTATCAATAAAAAACGGTAAAATATTCAATAATATGCAAAATAAAATTTGATATTTTGAATATAGATTCCATGAAACACATATCTATATAAAAATAAAAGCTATTGGATAACCTAAAAAAAAAATATGCAAAATCATAAACATCCTAACCCTTATATTCTAATAAAACGAAGAAACTCTTGCACACAGTAATATCATACATAACTACGCGATTTACCCGTACTTACTACCTAGGATTTACTATTCAGTTATCAAATAGTTTTAATATATTTTAATTCAGAAAAATGGAATTTGTAAGTACAAAAAGAAAAAAAGAAAAAAACACCATACACCATTATTTCCAAAATAAACTATTAAAAGTTTCAAGTGTTTCAAATAATCAAACTGAATTTCCTTTAATTTATTTAATTTTTAAAACATTTTTAACAATTCCTATGAATACTGTGTCATGTAAAAGAAGCTTTTCGCGTTTACGGCATTTAAAAAAAATAACATCTGCAGACAACAATAAGCTAAGAACCTCTCAGTAATTTATCTTTGTTACAAATTGAAAAAAACCAACTCATTTATGTAAAACTAGTTATCGACGAGTTCAATAGCAGTGTGTCAGTCTCTGGATACCTCTTAGCTTTAGCATAATTAATAATTTTTCAAAACAAAAATAAATATGTAAAACTATGGAAATTTTATTACTGTTTAATATATTAGTTATTATTATGTTATGTTTATATTTTGCACTCAGGGAGCTGCAAAACTTGGTTGATTAGTTTTTTTTTTTTTTGGGGGGGGGGAGTCATACTTTGCACAAAACTTAATAACCAAAAATATGATATAGGTATATTGTTTGTTCTTAGGGGGGATGGGGGAGACTACCTGTGTGCACCTGCTGAAATTTAATGGAATTATGTCAATAGTTAGATATCTTTGGTTAACCTACTTGATCTGGAAATTTGTTACTGATATACCATAAATCACTACTCCTCTAATTGCCATATCACATCTTGACCAAATCAAATGCTGTTATTACACGCTTAAACAGCTTGTGTTAAATATTTCAAAATATTTTGAAAATTATTGCATGTATATAAATTGATAATATGAATACTTCATAAAAATTTTAAGTTTCTACTGTTATTCAATTTTGAATTATAACAAAATAAATAAATGTTATCAACAACTGGTATAGCTAAAATTCCCGTTTTCCTTTATTGTTTTTTTATTTTTTTCCAACTATTAAAAAAAAAGATATTGGAAATTTCTTACTCTTGTAATCTGTAAGTACAAACTAGATTCAAGTTTCTACCATAAACCACCAAAATTAAAATTGAAGCATTGTTGCTGTCCCAAAAAATAATGATAGATTAAAAAATAAATCATTGTAAAATCAATATATTCATTAATCCACTCAGAATATGAAATTAATAAAAGCTATATATTTTTATTTCTACTGTTTCATATATATAAATAATTTATTATTTTAGGATGACCAAACATTTGTCAAAGTAGAGCCAAAGACTGAAATTGTTAATGGTAATTATCAACTAATTATATATTTTTATTTATAAAATTAATTACAAATATTATATCTTGCTAATAGCTTGATAATTAAATAATATACATCTTATAATAAATGTTCTTCAATATGTTTGCATATTATTGCATATTGATTGCATTATTGCAATCACTTTGTTTTCATAATTAATAATGAGTATGTTTATATTTTTAGATTACTTCCTCAATGACTCAGACAATAAATTGGAAAGTTTCTCTTTTAACCTTGATAATACTCCGGTAATAATTATTTATTAATACATATTGTAAAATTGATGTAAAATTTGTATGAACTATTATGTAAATGAACTTTAAACTGAAGACCAAATCTGAAATTTTATCACTATTATAAAATAAAAGTTAAGAAAAATTTTATAATATCTATATCTACTTGTTCCTTCAATAAATTAGATAATTGAGATAAAACTATAAAATTTTAGCTATTAATTACTATTTTTTAATACGATTATATAGAAATCTTGAAGTATAATATGTTCAAACTAAAGAATACTTCTTTACTACTATGTATGAATATAATACAATTAATACTTTAGCTAGTGCAATTTATTTATTTATTTAATTAAAATCAAGAGACTTTTTTCTATTACAAAAATGTAATGACTGTTAGTGTATGAAGTTAAAAAATAAAGGATACAAATAAGAACTATTTTAAATCAGGGCTTGAAAGTTGTAGCACTAAATATGTTACTTTTTAGCTCTTGAATATGCATTTCAAAACTCCAAAATATGTGCTATAAATAGCTCAAAAAAATTAAAAATATGCATTAATATTGAAAAGTTATAAATTTATTTAAAAAATATATAACCAAGTAAATCATTATTTTCAACATAATGCGAATATTTCATGTTATATTATGTGAAAATATTACCCAAAATAGTACTATAAACATTAAATTAGCAAAATAGCAGTAAAAACCATAAATATGCAAAAAAAAATAGCAAAATTAAATTTTGTGTATAACATCAGAGAAGTGTGAAATATATTTTTATCTTACTTTGCATGTTCTAGGAGGAATCAAGAAAAAAATGCATTTGCTACAACTTCCAAGCCCTGATTATAATTAATTAATTTTGATAAAAAGAAAAATAATTACAAAAGAAATTTTTAGATAAAAATATATCTAAATCATGATTAACATTATTACCAGTAGTTAACTAAATACTAATTTGGGATGATAACAAATAATTTTGTGAAATAGTAAAATGTATGACGTAAACTGGTGTCATGAGTTCATGAATGTAGTTTAAAGTTAATTTTAATAAAAAAGAATCATCACACACCCTAATTTTCAATGCATTATTGCACTCTGACATCTAACATTAGTCATGTATTAATAAAACAAATACTAATGAATTACAAGTATCATCCTTATAAATTAATGTTTATACACAAATTTTGACCTAGTCAGGGATGGGCAAGATACTCAAAAATCAGTATCGCGATACTAAATACTTGGATATTGAGTATCAAGATACTAGATATTCGATACTTTATATAATTTTATCAAGATACAAGATACTTGTATTGAACATACTGTCCAATCCTGGACTTAGTAATATATATAATTATTTTAACTTATTTGACTCAAAAGAAATTGAATGAAAATGAACTTTTTGCCAAAACTACAAATGAAAGTGCATTTTTATGACATTGTGAAAAAAAGAAATACTGGACTTGTTTACTAGTTGACTCCAATTTATACATTGTTTTGAAAGCATGTAATCAATATATTGTAAAACTTAATGTGTAGTAATGAAATATATTATTTAAGTCATTGTTTTATTTTTTATTGAGAGTAATGTGAATGGAAAAACTTAAACCAATTTATTAGAAGAACTAGTTAATAAAAATACCATTAAATTTTACATAAACTTCATTTTATAACTTCAATAAAACTTTAGATTTGATCTTCAACTTAAGTAAATTACATAAAATTATAATTCATAATGTTATAGATTAAATATACTAGTATATTTAATCTATGATAATGTATACTTAATAATTTTAAATTTATAGGAAAAATCAATTTTTGAACAACATTCTTCTGAAGCATCAAATGGTAAAATTATTCTGACTTTTTTTTTGTTTTTAAAGTATTAAATTTTAGCTAATACTTTTAGGAGCTACCACAAGTGAAATTACACATTCAGATAATGAATTGGAAAACTTCTCTTTCACATTGAAAGCTGACAATATCAAAGTAAGTTATAAGCATGTAAATTTAATGATTCAAAATAAATAATTTAGAAATTTAAAGAAATGTATAAAACAGTTCACAATTTAATCATACATTTCCCGTGTTTAATTTTATATATTTTTTGAATTAAAATTTTCTCTAATAACATAATATACAGTATGCCAATTATTGAAAAATCAATAGCAATGATTCAAAACACAATAAAGATATAATGCAGTTTTTTAATGTAATAAATGACTAATAGCAATCCCTTTATGGCTTTATCATGGTCTAAAAAAAAAAATTTTAATTTAAAATTATCCATTGTATAGAGTTATTAATTTATAATATGGAAAAAAACAATTTTGTAATTAGCTAAATTTTAAACAAACTAAAGCAATTTATTTAAAAAAAAAAAAAATAATAATTATAATAATAATAATAAGTGAATGGTAAAGTGATATGGGTTTTACACTTTTTAATAATTAACTAATGTTAAACCAATAGTTAATAAAAACATACTACTTTTTGATATTTAGTATAATTTATTTTTTTTATTGATTTTGATAATTATTAAAAAATATGTTCATCATTATTAATGCACCCATTAATTTTGTAGACCCATAATCTTTATAACAAAATTAATATTTAACTAGTAATATCTTCTACTTGTATAGCTAGATTTAAAATTTTTTATTAGGTAGTCAAACTAAAAAAGTCAAGACTAAAAATCAGGTAGTCAAATTTTTGTAAAACCCTCTGTTAATCCATTTTTAAGAAAAAACCAAACTCTAGTCACATATTGAACAATATATAAATTAATAAAAAATGTACACATTTTTGATAATATAAGTTGCTTAAATTCATTCTAAATCAAACTAATTTCAAAATTATTTTATATTGTTATTAAATAACTATAAAGTTGCTACCATTTTAAAAACAAACATTTGGAAAAAATACTCAGCTAATTAACAGGAATTTTTTTTTTTTTGTATAAAATGTTAAGTTATACTCAGAAATATTGTCATAATTATAAAAATATGTAATACTTATGTCACTATATAATTTGTGAGTTTGAAAAATAATTGTATTGTGATGAATAAATAATAAAATACATTTTGAAATACAAAAGAATGATACAAAATTTATTCATCAATAAAACTTCTAAATCATAAATTAAATTAATTTTTAGGATAATTTATCTAATGCTGAAGTTAAAAGGTGGAAACCGTATAAAAAATGTAAATACTCTAATTCTAAAAGTAATGCACCTTTACCTCATCTATTCAGAAACAATAACCATAAGGTTAGTTTTAGTGTTGATTTCTTTTCTTTCTATTAAATAATAATTATTTTTTTATATTCTTGATATTTTATTTACTTATTGTACAATTTTAGAATACACTCAGAAAGCCAAATCCATGGTATCGCAAAGATTCAACAGAAAGAAATAATGCTCTTCAACAAACATTTAAAAATCAATATCAGGGAAATGCTTCATTACCATCTGCACCTAATAATAATGGTTCTACCTTTTTTCCGCCAAGAAATTACAATTCACAACCTAATAGAGGTAATTCCAACAACTTCAAAAAAATGCCAAATGAAATACAAGGTACGTCTAATATTTTGAAGTATAATATATCATGTCATTAAGAGGGCGTCACAGTAAAAGTGAAACGTATACAACGCTCAAGAGATGGCGTTGAATTTCATATCGCCGCCGTCGCGGTAGGCCGTAACCACGCCTATCGTGTACGCGACGGGGTCCGCGTGTTGTTATTGCGGGAGAGGTACATTATTATTTCACAGACTGTCGTTTAGAACGTTTCGCGTCAAACGTCATTACAGGCCGTTACGTAAATTGTCGCCCGTGAATTCTATACGGTGCGCTGACTCGCTACTGGCTAGCAAGTCGCAAACCTATTTTTTAATTAAAGCTCCTGTTTGCTTAAAAATATTAACCAATAAATTAAGCATACAAATTATTATACACCAGAACTCGATTTATATTTCTAACCCAATTACTTTTTAAAATACATATAAAATAATAATTTCATTACGATTAAATAGATTTTTTAGTAAAAGTGTTACGTATTTTACGTTGTAACTTATAAATGACATGAAGCAATTTTTGTTCGATAATTTAATTTTTTATTTATTAATAACATTTTAAATAGTTCTGATTAGTAAATATTGATGTATTTACTTATTTTAATTTTAAACATAATACCTACATAAAATATGAAGTTGATTGTTGTACATAATATTTATTAAATAAATACCTACTGTAATAATATAATTATTTATATTATTGCAATTGCAGTACCTATATGTAAAAAAAACAATATGTATAAACTAAACATTTTTATTGTTCATATAATATATATAAATTAAAATTAAATTATGTAGGTACTTACAAATGTACAGAACACATTTATTTACACATAATAATTAATTAAAACACAACATTTGGATTAATGACAATTTATAATAATTGATAACTTAAATTAATGCTAGCGGTCATATAGATAATGGATAACTGACTTACTATAATATTATATTACACCTATACTTTAATTTTAAAAATGTCATAATATGTACGACGTACGTGAAATTATCTATATAAAATTTGCATAGTTATGTGTACAATAATAAAATGTAATATAATACATAACATTATACAATTAACATTTTATGTATTTATTTTGCGTTGTAATAAAAAAAAAATCATCTGCAACAATATTTATAGTTCCATATAAAATTAATTTTTATAGAAACTAAATAATTTAATATATTAATAAATACTTATGATACAAATATTTTTTAATTTTTTAATTTTGACGGTTTTAAACCATTTCAAACGGAAGATTTGGATAAATAATGGTTTTATTATTATAACGCCGAACATTTTTTTTTTCCAAAGAGTCATCATCAAACTCTTAATTTTTATTGTATTTTTGTTTATGAGACTGGAGTATTAAGTTATGGGTAATGCTAGAAAAAAATCCTGCTAAAAGCTTTGTACTCCACCCAAAGGTTTGATATAAAAAAGTTATATTAATACCTGTGTCAACAATAGTTAATACTAATTTTGCAACAAAGAATATTCCCATTAGCCCAGATACAAAAGTTCCAATTGTCGTAAACCAACCCCATATTTTAAATAACTTATCTTCTACCATTTTTCCAAGCGTGTTTTCATCTATCAAATATTTGAATTGCAGACCTTGGTTAGTGGTATCATATCCCATAGATTGTCTGATTATATTATTCGTAGCAGCTTTCACTTCTTGCGGAAACAATATATGCTGTTGGAAAGCTTTCATTGTATCCTGCGTATATTTACCGGCATTCATAAGAAATTCCGGACTTTTATACGACCATGTCCAGGACATGGCCAGTTTAAGCCTTTGTGGTTTTTTAATTTCTTGAATATTTGGCAGAACGGCAAACCATTCACCGCCCAATTCGAACGCAGGTGGTAAAAGCACATTGCAGTCCACCTGTGTTCCAAATTACTGTAAAATATGGGTTTTGGGCGCCATAAATAATGTTTTGTTGTTATATAAAATACTGGCAGTTCATTAAAACAATTTCTTTTTTGTGAAATTTCTACGTTGAATTTTTTACATTTTATTAAGTAGATAATTTCACTGACTTTTATTGCGGTAAACCCTGGTCCACCACCTATTAAATATGCCAATTCTGAAAGACTAGAAGATGCTAATGTGAGTCGTTGCTCAAGTAATTTTCTGTCTAGCTCACATTGTTTAAGTAGTATATCGTTATACAACGATGTAATAGTTGATTTGAAGAAATTTTTGACATAAACAAATTTTGTGTTTATGTAAGCTAATAAATTAGTATTTTGAGCAATTATGGTTTTTCGTGTGAAATAATTAAAAAAATGTAGGTTCTGTTAAAATTAATAACTGCATATGTTCAGTTCTGAATAACTGGGATTCCTGTGCAAGCGAACGTTTTTTTGACTTTTTTTAAAACAAAGACTATTTTGTCAGTCTCCACAATATAAGTATATGTATTTGAACTTTCATCAATAATATTTGACGTAATTAATGACGCTGGTCCATTATATAGGACACTGATATCGTGTTCTTCACAGTTTATGTTATTGTTTGACCAGATAGTTTCACCTTTAAAAGCATCAATGCCGTAATTGTCTGATAACTTAAGTTTTGTACCTGTTGGAAGTATATCCACTATTCGTCTTCCCGAACTTTCATTTACATCGCATGGTCTGTTATAACATTTTAATAATAATATTTAATTTTTAAAACTGTTATAACCAATATTCGAAACGGATGAAATACGCTGGTTTTTCAAAAATAATAACAAATTCGCGAATTAGTAGACTCATATATTCAATCAAATTTTAAATTAAAAATCATACTTGGATTCTTGATTACTACATATAAATTCATCAAATGTCAAGTTATGTAAAACTTTTTCAGTACCCCAATCATTAGTTTCTTTTTTTTTTTTTTTATTGAACTTAAGCCCGGCAACTAGGGCCATTAGCTGTTTGTAAGGGTTACGTTGTAGGTTGGTACGGTAGGTTGTATTTTTATGATTGTTACGGTTGATAGCAAACACGTGTATGTGTGGCAAGGTTTTTAACCACTATGATCCCGAATGGTCACCCATCCGGGAGCTAGTAGCTGTGGCCGTTACTTACTCTCAGTCGCATTCCGCGACTGGTAGCAGCCAACGCGCCACGCCAAGCCACAATCATTAGTTTCATTATCCCTCAAATCCACCATTTTGCTAAAAAAATTTAATAAAACATATGTATTATAAATAAAAAATAATTATAGTTTTAGTTTTCATACAATAAAACTTAGATGGCTACAAATAATTAAAATTTACCTAATTGTTTCCCTCGATGAGCATGGTGGTTGATTGCCAGCACCTAAGAAAAAAGATTCCACAACAGGTTCTACGACATCTGGGTTGGAACTTTGTTCACACGAATTTAGTCAAATTAATAACCATATTTGATAATAATATAATAAATAGTTATACTTAATTTTGGCACGAATTCCTAGAATATTCATCACTCGAGAACTCAGCGATTTTTTAACTGATAATTTTTTTGATGGGAAGCGATGAGTTGTTTTTTTAGGTTGATCCATTTTCACGTTAAAAAAATTTAAAAAAATATAAGACCGTAATAAAATTCCAGTGAAAATCTAAGTTATTACTGATGTTAACAGTTAGACAAAATGACAATATTTGATATTTACTGTCATAATTTATAATCAATAATTGAATAATTAAATATTATTTAGATACTCACCCTCTTTCATATTACCGACGGGCGACGACGTGAATACGATAAGTGTTGATAACAAATAAAAATATAAAATTTATACCGATCAAGCGAATGATCGACCTTCGCCGTATAATAGACTATATGGATTATTTATCATATCATACATTTATTCAAATCGTATTGCAAAAAAAACTCATGATTAGGATACTATATACATCTAGCTATCTATGAATGAGTATAGGACATAGATAGTTTAGACTAAAAGACGCGAGTATATCTTCGAATACTATATAAATTAATAAATTACATGATACGTAATATTGGTAAAATATATTTGTAAATAATATATAAATTATTGTTTTATGTATTAGGCATTAGCAAATTGTGTTTGATAGAAAATAACAAAATTTCTGTGTATTATCACAGAATAGAAAATACGTAAAAATAAAGAAAATATGCAAATTATTTTGTTAGAAATTCATAACAATTTTTCTTTTTAAATCTAAAATCTAAAATTTAAAAATTTAGTACAAGATTCTTCATAAATTTGTCTAGTTTTATGAAAAAAATATCTACCGGAAATACAAATTTAATTTTTATGAGCGTTTGAAATTCAGATTTTTACAATATTGGATATTCACTCTATTTATCATTTAGCGATTTTCTTATGTTGTAATTAAAAAAACGAATAATTGTAGATACTTTTAATAATTTATACTATATATCTATTGTATCAATTCCTATACTTGATACTATTTTCAAAAAATTTTCACTTTTTCTGAGCTGTTTACGAACATTTTCAATTTTTTTTCTATAGTTGTTGATAAATTAGTAATTATAAATTTGTTGGGTCAAGAAGCGCGAAAATTTAATTCAAGGCTCCTGCACATATTATTGTTACAATAGCAGTTGAAAAATATTAAAAATCAACGTGCACAAGTTTTTTTTATAAGTTTTTTATGTTTGAATTTTGAAAAAAAATTGTCAAATTTTAAATTATTTTCTAGTTACAAATATATATTATTATAATATATCATAGGCTGATTCTTTGTCTTCGTTAGGATTCGTTTTTCTTATACAATATTATATCACTCAATTCAAATTTAACACAATCCAGTAGGTATGTAGTGACTCACTTGTAATCTACTATAAAGCAGAGCGACACCCACTTGGCTACCTTTTTTTACTTATACAGTTCAACTAATTTAAATTTTAAAAAATTCGTCTTGAATATCAATACGCTAATTTTATGGAACAATTGTGTATGATTAAAAAAAAAAAATGTTTAAATCGTATGTTTTCTAGCTGATGTGTGACAATTTTACAATATAATATGATGTAGTTCCATTTTGCGCAAAATACGATAGTAATAGAATACGATTTATAACATCGAAAAATAAAATAATATTATTCTTTGACAAAATTATTATTTTCGTATTGACGTATTTGGCTATTTATAAACCGTGTGCGGCTACGATAAATAACCAGTTTTGACCTATGATGCGGTATGGCTGCTTATGCAAGCGGGGTGGTGGAAGAAGTATTATTTCAGAACGCTGCCGCTATAATCGTTTTAGCAGCACATGACGACGGCAAATTCATAATTTTTTTGCCAAAATATGCTTTCGTACTTCCAATAGTACTCAGGCCTCGTTGATCGTAGAAACATGATTTTGGTATCAAAATAATCACGAGAAGTTGTACTAAATATTCTTGGAACAGATTTTTGATATCTAAATTTGCCGATTTTATATAATTTTTTAAAAAAATGAAAATTTTACAAATTTCAAACACAAATAAAATTGGTTAGAAAAAATATTTTAAAATTCTGTTCCAAGAATATTTAGTACAACTTCTCGTGATTATTTTGATACCAAAATCATGTTTCTACGATCAACGAGGCCTGAGAACTATTGGAAGTACGAAAGCATGTTTTACGGTCGATTTTTTTCTACTGTGACGCCCTCTTAATATAAATGTGTCATTTTAAGTTGTGTACTGGATAATAGGAATTATTATTAAATACCTATATTAAGATTTCATAAATATATTAAATCAATTTCAGGCAATAAAAATGTTGCACCTAATGCATCATTTACAAGGAATGACAATGAACTGGCAAATTTTCAATTTGGGAAAAATAATTCTCAACTTACTATACCAAAGCATGATGAAAGCCCACCTTTAAATGTGCCAAGGCCATTACGTCATCCACCTGTCCCTATAATTAAACCTCACAGTTTAGTTGGAGAAGTAAGTATTTTTAATTAGACAAATAATTATTTTTTTTTGTATTTATTAAACATAAGTTTCATTTATTATTATTATAAAAAGTAATTTGTATAAAAAATCGTATGTACATATATTATCTTTAAATTTAAATTAATTAATAATTTCTTAATACTTCTAATTCATAACCTAATTACTTTTTAAATTTTATAACCAGAAAGTAATATAATTCTTTAATGAATCATTAAGGTTTGTTTATAGAAAACTTCCAAAATTAGTTTATTCATTAAAAACTTTTAATCTAAAAAAATACTTGGTTATGAAATAGTTCTTTCAATAGACTAAATAGTGAATAAAATCAGTATATTTTAAATACAAATTTTACTGCAGTCAAATATTTTAATTTTTGATCAAAGAGACTAAAAATTCCAAATTATATAAGAAATATAATGAAATAAATTAAATAAATTTATTATTATTTTAATTTGGTTTTTTTTATATATCATCATTATTTCATTTAATAAAGATACTTAAGTGTCAAAATCTGTTTTAACTATAATTTTATTGAATTATAAACTTACTTGTATTTCATTAATATGTACGTTATTAAAAGTTCAAATATTTGTGACATGTTTTTAACTTAAAGTATATGATTGCTATTTTCAAATATATATATATATAATATTATATAATGTGTATAATTTTTATAATTTGTTTATTTATAGTATTTGAGTCCTGTATCTTTGGTTGGAACGACAATAAAATTTTTATCCCGAAAATTGGCAAATACAAGTATACGGGAACAAATTGTCATAGAATTAGCCAAACATGGTATCTTAGAGGCAAGTAATTTAAAATAATTTATTTTAATTCTTAAATAACTACTATTATTTTATAAATAAAAATCTTAATTTTTTTTAATTATTAATTTAATAATAAATGTAATCACATTTTTTATAAAATATTGACTTAATAATGATCTCTTATTTCAATAAAATTATTTATATAGTCTATAATATTTTGTAAAATTTTCAAATTATTCAGTATTTAATTTATTTTAGTTTATTTACTTATTTAATTCAATTTCATATTTGATTAATCTAAATCAAATTATATAAATATAATATATGTTTTGATAAGTACATGAATAATATTAAATTATCTTGTATTAAGATACACACATATATATATATATGTTACGTTCAAAGTATATAATTCAGACTAAATGGACCGTATTTTTACGCTTATTATTATTTTTATTTTTATTTTTTTTAATAAATTTGAAGTGGTTGATTTAAAATTTTACGAAGAATGTAATATTCTATCAAGTGAAAAAAATTCAAATAATGTATTTTTAAGACGTAAAGTTGAATACAAAGAAATAATAAAAGAAATTAAACGATTAAAAAGTTAAGAAAAATTATAACCAAATGATTTTAAATTATTAAAACGCTATGATATAATGAATGTAAGTAAATCGATTAATTGAACCTGTAACTGATTCAAAATCCAAATACTATTATATATTATGTTTATATAATGAAGAGTTGTTTAAAATAATCCATGATGTACATTTATAAACTGGTCATAAAGGTAGAAACTTATTGAAACATGAACTTTTTTAAAAATATAAAAACATTACTATTGAATGTTTAATGATTTTATTTAAATCTATGTGAATCATGTTATAGAAAGGGTAAGCGTGAGAAAAGGACCAGTTGTTAAAACAATCATTTCTAAAGAAATGAATTCTCTTTGTCAAAAAGATTTGATTGACATACACAATCTGATAGAAATGATAAATTTATTTTAGTTTATCAAGATCACTTAACAAAGTATATACCATTAACACACAAATGTGCAAAAAAAAGTTGCCTTTATATAGTAGCGGTATTTTAATTTTTTTCTGAGAGTCCTTTAACATTATTTTATAATATATAAAAACACAAAAAGTTGACCCATTAAAAATTACTAAATAAAATTTAATTCATATTTAATCAACATGTATACATCCCCAGTCATGGTGTTCTCTTAAAGACATATTTTGACGCACACACAACATCATGGTTCCAATATGGATTTAATATTTTGTCGATTTTCTAAAATTTGTTTCATTGTTTCGGTTTATATCATGTTGATAATAGATGTTTCAGAGGTTTTTAATATATTAGAAAAATTGCTTGTATCGAATAAACATTGTGATATTCAAGAGAAGAATGCTTATTAAAATTTTCAGCTGAATGTTTTCAATTACCAATTTTTTTCAGAATTAAGCTATCTAATAAATTCCACCTTTGTTTTTGGAAAATTTTACACAAAACCTACTAAATACACTATTTTCTACAGCCGAGTATGCCAACCAAGAAAATTGCATCAATTAAGAATATTTAAATTTAAAATTCTTTTCTTTCTTTTCTTTTCCATTAATATAAATTTAGTCAAGAAAGAACTTAAAATCAAATCTTAAATTTACCTTAAATGTATTATAATAAATACGGTCATAACTAAATACTAATCTCTTAATGAGCGTACCTAATAGCTTAGCTAATTTTAATCAACTTCTATTAAAAAGAACTTTGATAGTTTTATTTTTTTTAATATTTTAATAAATGATTTTTTTTTTTCAGAATAATTGGTGGACACCAGATGATATGTTTTATGCAACATTTTCAGAAAGAAGTATTGCTCAACATGTATTTAAAATGTATCCTCAAAATACAAATTGTTCATATTAAAACAAATGAATTCAAAGAATTATTAATTACACTGCTGTTATGTTGTGTAGTTAAGTAAAAATAAATTTTTAATTTAATTAATAAATATTCTTTTTTCATTTATGCTCACTTTTGATAACACTTCATGAATGCAGTTTATCAGGAGGCCCTGTGTAGGATTTCATAATTGTGTGGAGGGTTGAAAAAAATATATAAAATAGATACATCAATAATTAGTAAACCCCGCACCGCACTATTACACACGCACTGTCGTGATAACGATGTGAGGAAGTAACTAGAGATTAAGTTTATGCATATTTTAACATGTCACGAGACAATTAATTGTCAAAAGTTAATTAATTATCAATCTCATTTTAAGTTAAAAATGTATACTTAAATCCTAGAAATATTTATAACTTTAAAATAACGTTAATGAGTTAAGTATTCAATATCATAATTTATAAAATAGTTCAATCTCTGTATTTAGTTTACATGAAACATTTTTGTTAAATTTTAGAGTTATCATAGAATAAATTTAAAAAAACATTTAAGTATTCATAGTGACCTGTACAATGAGTATGAATCAAAAGTAAAATAATATTGTTTTAAGAACTGGAGTTGTTGAAAAAAACTGTTGGTATTAAAAGTCAAAGACAATGTTATAATTTTTACAGCCTAAAAGTTAATGAAAGTTTAGGAAAAAAATATGTAAATGAAGAATACACTCTTTTCAAATATAAAATAACTAAGGAAATCCAAAACTAATACATTTCATTAAAAATGTATGCCGTTGCAAGATTGAATAGATCCTTTTTAAGGATAAATTTCCAATATGCAATTTACTATACCACTAAACTTAAGACCATAGAAATTTTTAAACTGATTCACATACAGATAACTATAATATTTAATTATTTGTACTTCTATATAATTTTTTTATACTATATAATACTATGTGGTAAACATACATAAGTAAATGACTACAATTAAAAAATAATTTCTATTTAATTATATGTAACTATTTTTTTTTTAGCATTATTTTATTGTTTCAAAAAAAATTTTTTATGAAATAGGTGATAATTTTATTTTATTCCCATTTCAAATGTTTAAATGTACAAATCACCAAGTACAATTTAATCATTACTTATTAATATGATTATCAATTGTTAACAGTTAGTTTGAATTAGACTATACTGTAGGTACTTGGTGATAATTTAGTAACTGAATTATTAAATGAACAAAATGATACTGTTTATAATAATTACGAACAATTATAACTTGCTATAAATATGTTCAATTGCAAAACTTCTGTGGTTACTCCATATTTCCTGAAAGTTTTAAATAGTGAAATGTAAAATGTATATTTTATTGCATTATTATAAGACATTTGAAAACCATATAAGACTGTAAATATACATGTTATATTTAAAACATAATATTAACTTCGTAATAATTTATATCCATAGCAATACTAAAATGTAACATTATTTAAACTAATTAAGTGTTGAATTTTATTTTAAAGGAATCCGTTGTGTAGTCCACACTTTGCAATTAGCAATGATAAATTAATTAAAAGATGATGATATCATTAAAGTATTAAATAATATTAGATTTTTGGCAAGATGGCTGAGAAACAAACTCACTCTTATCATAAACTAGAACTGGAACCAGAACTTCCTAACAAAATAATTAAAACCCGTACCATTGCTTATATTAAGGCACACTTCAAGATGTGTATGTGTAACATTGTTTTTTAATAAACTACTATTTTTCAATAAACTTAACTATAATATAATATACCTATTATAGTATATAATATTATAGATTTATTCTCATGTTGCAGACATAAATTTTAAACAATAAATAATATTTTTTCCAGTTCTATTGATACTATTGTTTCATTTATTAATAAATATCTTATTATTCTTATTCCTATATTTATATCAAGTATAATATGATTCACAAGAACATAGGCAACTAAAACTTAATATTAAATATTTATAAGGGACTCCGCGAGAAAAACTGCTTAAAACAAGGCTGAAAAGTTTAGGAATCACTGCATTGCGGTCAGAAACTAAATTTAAGAATATCCGGAGGAAACTTGTTGATTCTATTGGGTCTAATAATCTAAAGCGTCTCATTACTGGTAAATATTTTATGCAATCTATAAATATGACTATTTTATTTAATTTAAAGGTCAATGTGTGAAATACAAAAAATATTAATAAATTAAATCATATTTGTAATATGATATATTGCTAAAGTTGTACTGATTGCTATCAAGTTATAGATTTTATAGTAAATAGTTTAAATAAAAGATTCTCACTTGAAATTTTAAAAATTATGTCATCTATTAATAATTTTCATACATAAAATTATGATCCAAGTACACATTTCATCAAACATTATAAATTAAATATTTATTGTTTTAAATTTAATTTATATTTGTTATGTTTAGTTTAATAAACCTATAATTTTATTTTTAAGGGTCTCTTACTTGAAAGTGGATGTAAATGTTTTACTTTCAGGATTGTTAGTAGAGATGAACTGTTACAAACACATATAAAATAAAACTTTAATTTATAATTAAAGGGACATAAAATTAGCTATAGATTTTTAAATTAATATACATTTTTTATCTTAGTCTTTCACTATACAGGTTTCTTCTAGTATATATGAGATTTTTCTCAACTATGAAGTAGATATAAAATTGGTTATACATGTCTATGTATTATGATAGGTTTTCAAAAGCTTCTCTTTTTTACGTAAAAAGAGACATTTCTTGAAATTTTATAAATTAATACATACTAAATAAATTTGTTATGTCAATCACTTTATATAGTTATAACTTTTTAAACATGTATGTTATTTCTATAATTTTATATTTATTTGTATTTTATCAAAAACAAATATATTTTAATTTGTATTGATAAATATTGAGTTCAGTATTTAAATATATTAAATGCACAGTACTTGCTACATTTGTTTAATTTTTCAATAGAGATTAATTTGTGGAGCTTATATAATTCTAATTTCTTCAAAACAAAGAAACAATTGTTTAAATTGTTTCTACAGGAGTGCTAAGAAATATAAAATTAAGTGATTATTATTAAGTTTTTGGTAATCTATTTTTAATTTTTTTTTTAAGTTTAGGAATATAGTTGTATTATTTAAATACTTATACAATATACCTATTGAATAAAAACAAATACTTTATGTATATTCTAATTATGTACTATTTCCAAATTATTGTTCTTATTTTTAAACTGTAAGAACTTACATTAATAGAGTATTACTCTATGATTTAAATTAGCATTTTCTGTACATATAACATTTTAAAAATATTTTGACACTTTTTAACTACCTACCTGCTTATAGATATTTGACGTTTAGTTTTTAATGTATTCAATGTTGATTCAAATTTTTACTTTGAAAAAGTTTCAAAATTTAATATAAATTTCCTGACAATTTGTTCATATGTCAATTAAAAATACCAAAAATGCATAGTCACAATAATTTTTGATTTGCGTTTTATATTTGAATATTATAGATTTTTAAAATGCAGATAAAATTTTATTTTTTTAAATAGAATATTATCATGAATAAACTTATCAATGTGGCCTGGTGTGACGTGGTGGTTGGCTTCAGTCACTAATGTGTTCTGAGGTCAAGCATCGGCCGGCGTCGCTAGCTCTCGGATGGGTGATCACCTGAATTCTTAGTGACAAATCCGTGGTGCACATATATACACACACAGAGTTCCAACCGTACTAACCAAACTTTACAAGCAAACCTTACACAAAAAAAATAATAAACCTACTGTTCCTATCCACATCTAATGGCTTAGTTGCCGGGCTTAAAAAAGATTAATAAAAAAAAAAAAAACTAACCAACATTAGAGCTACTAGTACCAATAGTAACTGTATTAGATAAAAACTAATATATTATTTCACATATTTTAACATCCCATTGTTACTAAGCACTTAAGTTATTTAGTTAAGGCTAGTAGTGGTCTATGTAAACTTACTAACAAACAATTAACTCAAACAAATATAAAATTATAAATATATTTACTTTAAAAGTGAAAAAAATATACTTTGTGTAAGTGTTTAAATAATTTAATTTATTTTAAGTGGAAATTAAAAAAGATAATGCTAATATTATATTAAATATAATTTTAAATAGCAATTCTTATTCAATAATATACGTGCATTTTAAATTCAAATGTATATGTTAGCAGCAATATTAATATTTAGTCATTTTAGTGAAAATCCAGTTAACAATAATATTTCCTATAGGCTATTTAATGTTTTTTCTAATTATTTAAAATAACAGAACTATCTCGGGCAATAAAATATCCATACACTAACTAATTAGTTATTAACAAAAATAACCTACGAATAAAAATATATTATATAATATACCCTATTACCTACTAATAATCATACAAACAAATTATAAAATATAAAAATTATGATAATATATAATATATTACAAAATATTGATAGCTTATGTCATTAATACATAGAAAAAATATAAATTAATGTATATTATTTCTATAAATTACAAAACTTAACAATTATTTTTAAAAAGTCCTTTCTTTGGATTTACTGAAATGCCCAGTCTTAAATTATATTGCCTTTTAATAATCGATAAAACCGATTCATTATTCCTGCTAACATATACAAATTTAATATGCCTATTTTTAAGGCGGTTGAAAGCATCCCTTTTAAGGAGTTCATTATAAAAAACATTATAATATAACTATGGTATAATTTTCCTTACAATATAATATTCTCATTGACAATATCATTGGTGATGACAACTGATTCTTAAAAATGTCTACAATTACTTATCATATAATTTAAATAAACATATGTTTTTATTATGTTATATTAAGATAGCATAAGAACCCAACTTCTCAATTTTTATTTAAAAAACATAATTTGATTCATTATTCTTTTTTTTTTTTAGGTTGTATGAAAAATTAATTTTTAGTTTTGTACATATTATATTATTATAAATAAATAAACTAACTATTCATAATTTATTATGGTGTTTAATATTACCCTTTTTTAATAAAAAAAATAAACTTGTACTTCAATAGGACAAGATAAAACTAAAAATTTATTTCCAACAAAATTTTAAAAATTGAGTATACAAACTCAATTTTTTTTTCAAAATCCAAATTGTACCACTTACTGTAAAATTTTAATTTTTTTTCAATCAATATCTAAATGCATGAAATAACTGCTTTCAACCACCCTACTGCATCATTATTTGAATTATTTGAACTTTTGTATTAATCTACCAAAACAATTTTTTATTAATAATATTATGGTCAGTACTAAATAATAATAAAATTTTTCAATTTAAAAAAAAAAAATAGCTGTGGATTATAAAATAAAATTTATATCACAGCTGAAAATTTAGTAGCCAACTTTATATAATGGAATTAACATTTTCATTAAATAGAGAGGACATAATTAAACATTATAACATTTTAATTTGTACAATTCTCTAATTACAAAGAAATAAAATAAATATAGTATTTTATTATTTATGATTTTGTAGAGTGTTACAAAGCCAATCCATAGCCTCATCAAGTCCTATACCTTTTTTGGCTGATGTTTTAAATATTTGGAATGTTCGATTTTTTAAAGAATCTAATCCAAGAGCTTGATGTATCTCAGTTACATTCATACAACCCTCAACATCCTGTTTATTGGCTAATATTGTTAATATAGCACCATTTAATTCTTCTTCCTATAAATTCATAAAAATTATTTTAATAACAATAATATTAAACCAACATAAAAATTATTTTTAAAAATAGTTTACTTTCAACATATACATCAATTCGTCCTTGGCTATGCCCATTCTTTCTCGATCAACTGAATCAATTACATATACTACAGCGTCTGTATTTGAATAATAACACCTCCAATATGGCCTATAAAACAAGATTTTATCAATATAAATATGTTAAAATTCATACAGTTTTTCTATAATTTAAGATGAAAGACGTTTTTAGAACAACTACATAGTGTCATTTTTATATTAAACAAAATACAAATAGTTATTATTTTACAAAACCATCTAAAATTTAATTGATATTTTTAGATTTTATTATAATAATATAAAATTCATAGATGCAAACCAATTTATAATATAAGATAAAGTTTATTTTATATAGTTCAAAAACTCTTTAGTAAGTAATTAACATTAAAATAAAATATTACCTAATAGATGTTTGGCCTCCAAGATCCCAAACTTGAAATTTAATATTTTTATAAGTAACTTGTTCAACATTGAATCCTATTGTTGGAATAGTAGTTACAACTTCACCAACTTGTAACCTATACAGTATGGTAGTCTTTCCTGCGCCATCTAAGCCCAAGATTAAAATTCTCAGTTCTTTTTCACCAAATAGACTCTTGAAATAACTGTAAAATCCCCCTGAAAAAAAAATAATTCACAATTTTTATATCAGGCGTATTTAAAATGTATTATTTTAAAATTAAAATATTATTTTTTCTTTTACGCTATATTACATCTTTTAAATTTAGCTAAAAATATATTGATAACATATTAACAAGAAATTTAATATAGATTAAGAATTATATTATTTATTTATACTTATAATTTATTTTCTTAGAGCTTAGTTTTGTTTTAAAAGTAAATTAATATCTATCAGAAAAAAAATTATAAACAACTATAAATACTAAACCAAATAGAAAAATAATAGAATTTATAGAACTTTATTATATTTACATAAGATTTATAACTATTCACTTAGATACAACTTATTTTTCACATATGAATATGTGAAAAATGAATTAAAAGTAAAGGTACAAAAAAAATGCATTTATTATAACCAAGATATAAATTTAAATATTAAATAAAAAATTTATAAAAATGTCTTGAGTTAATTAAAATAATTGGTAATCTATGTTTTAACCTATAATTATTATGAATTTCGAGCGATACAAGGGTAAATAAAAATTGTACACAATACAAAAAATAAATACTAAAAATGTTACACATAATTTAGTTAACCATGACTACGTATAAATTAAAAATAACAACTTGTTCTTTCTTACATAAACTAAATAAAAACCAAGAAATAATTTAAACTACAAAACCTTACAAATTCCCAACTAATTTAAAATTTAAATTTTAAAATTATATAATATATAATTCAACAATTTATTCCTACAAGACAACACTTTCAAAATCTAAAAATATTATATGTTTAAAATTGATTCAAACAGTATTTTATCTACTTATTATTTATTAGTTAAATACAATCTTGTTGGTTTGAAATAGCCAGTAGATATCTAATGTTCTGTATTATTTTTTTACTTAGCAAAAACTATCAACTTTGGGTATTTTCCAAAAATCCACAATTATTTAACATAGTTATAAATAACATAAACATACTAATATTGTTATTTTTTTTAAAAAAAACATTGAACAGTATACATAAAATATCACAGGTACTATTTGAAATCATAGAAGAAAATTATTTATTTCAAGTTATAGAAAACATGAATAAATATTTATCTTCAAAATCAATTCAAAATTAATAATATTAAGATTTAATGGATATAAAAACATACCAATGCCGATTTAACAGAGATTAAATTTAATTCTACATACACTTGTGGAAAAATGGGAAAACAAAACCCATACAGAAGATTTATAGTTAAAGTATAATTTTTGATGACATTTGCTTTTTCTACCAGATTTTTGGAAGCTTAAACGTGATCCTTGTAAGATAGTAAAAATGTACATTTAAAACAGGTAAATTTAATGGATTTTATGCTTTTGGTTATTTACCTTACCTTTTGAGAATTTTAATCAATTTTAAATTAATAGTATTTTTCTATGCTAATTGAAATCTAACAGTTTTATAAATATAATTCAATTTCACTAAATTATTTTTATTTGAATTAAATAATTACTCAAATAACCTATTTTTATAGCTTATTTGGATAATTATTAGAGCTTTGTTAAGATTTTAGTGATTTTTAAATTTTTAGAAATGTAATTGTTCAATAATTAATTAGATAATATTAATATTTGGACTAAATTAAGTTAAAAATAGTCTAAAATAAGTTGTTTATTATCTTACAACCAAGCAAATATAATTGATAGTTACAATTAAAATATTATTACTAATTGCCTAGCTTTGATATTTTGAATTAATTTCCTACTTTAAAAATGTATCATACATTTCAATTTTAATTTTATCCTATGAAAGGATAAAGAAGAAATTATTATTCCAGGCAAATCAAGAATTTAAGTATATGAATAATATCTATTATGAATACATCAATAAAAGTCATTTAAACATAATATTATAAATCTGATTATAAAGTAACCAATTAAAATTAAAACTTCAAATTGTATTCCAATCTTAAAACTTACTTGATAAGATACTAAAAAAGTTATAAAATTGTGACACACACATAAATACAGCTAATTATATAATTAAAATATTTGCTATAAAATAATATTTATTGTATATTTAATAATCACAATTGAAATATTAAATAAATATGAGTTTCATTAACATTTGTTCAAAATTTCAATGTTCTAAATTAACAAATTTTTATTATTTATTTGTAATCATGTAAAAGATATTTCATTTTTATCCATTTTTTATACTTATACTGACTGAAAATAAGAACTTATGTAAATTATTGCTGACAACAATAATATTTTTAATTTACAATGCATTCATATAAAAAATTAAATACCTAATAAAATTAAAATTATAAAAGGGCCTGAAAGATACCACTAAATCAATTAATAGAATACTCAGTACTTTCTTGTTATATAGGACTACCTCGTTTAATGAAATGTCACAATCCTATTCAAGGCAACCAAAATTTGCCACTTTCCTATTACCATTAATAACTTTTTATTTTTAACAAATCATACTAAATTCTTTGTATAGTGTTTTTGTATAAATAAAATGTTAATAAAATATTAAAAAGTAAAAAATAAAATTTGAGCAGCTATTTTATTTCTTTGTCAGATTTAAATAGGTAAATAACAATAATATTTAATAAATAAAATTTAACTATAAAATAAAATAAACAGATTTTAAATCTTAATGTTACTACTATAAAAAATCAGAGTGAAACTACTTTTAACTAGAATAAATAACAGGAAAACTAATATTACAATGATTAGTAATTAAGAATTTAAGTACTGAAATGTGACATGCAGAAATTGATAAGATTGTGATAGTCGTGATAATCTAGGTAGTTTTGAGTATTAGTTATATTTTGACTGACAATAAGTTTTGAATTTCAAATACATTAAACTGTATTTGTGGCTTTATATTCTTGTTATGAGTATAAAATAGGTGGACTACAGTGCAATTTAGTATGATCAATATTGTGACACACATCCTACAATATTTATAATCATTAACATCGAAACAAACAATAGACTCGCTGTTTTAATATTAGGAACTGATGAATGTGAAACTAATGTGACAACAAAACACATAAACTATAGACTACAATCAAATTTTTGGTCATCCATCAATATAAACCATTGATGATTATGAGTAGATGAACAGTTGGAGCCATTACGTTGCTACAAACTCAGAAATTGGAGAACAAAGTCTAAATTAGTTCTAGAAGGTACTGTCAAATCCGTTCAAAGGATATCTGGCCTACAAGAGCTCATGGGACCTGCGACTAGGACTGGAGGTAACAAGCACTAACGTTACGAAGTTGAATCATTACACTCAATTGTGAGCGCTCTCGTCCTTACCCATTGTCGAGGTGACGCGGTCGGTATTTAGTGTCTCTGGCGTCAACTCTTGTTCGTTTGACTTCGGAACGACAGTAGGACACCAAGTACTCGGGACGATTCGTCCAGACGACGCGAAAAAAACGGTTATCAACGAATATCGGTTGTCGACGATAACAATAATAACAACAAATACAATCAATTGCTGTTGTCGTAAAATTATTACTGTTAATACTTAATTTGTTGTAATAATTCGGTAGAACTGCGAAGTACGACAATCCGATTCGGAGAGGATACGACAACAGTGACTTGCTGTAAACTAGTAAGTAGCAAGCAACAACGCGACGGTCGACGGCTGCTACTGCTGTTAAGGCGTATTATTGTGGACACTGCGTGATCGGTGACGGGAGGGCGAGTGGAGAAACGATTTTGGTTTTTCGTGTTCTCTTATCACTTTATCAGCCGTCGTCACCGCTATTGCTATTATAGTCTAGTTGTTATACATAAACGTATAAAAAAAATTGCAGCTGCCGCGATTAGGCTACGTGTCATTTAATAAGTATTAAATAATAATAATAATATTATTATATTTACACGGCTCACTATCTGTAAGTGGCGACCGAAAGGTTTTTTTTTTTTTTTTATCAAATTTCTGAATTCACAATTATTTATTCTTTTATTTCTTTTTACACATCAATAAAAAAAAAATTCGAAACAGAGTCAAAATATATGAATACCTATTTAATTCAAGGTTCTTTTTATGTTTTTCATTTACCATTTTAAATATATCGAAAATACGTGTTTATAATGTTGGCTGACAAATAATTTTTATGTATCGTGACAAGATTTCTACGTGATACTGACCGATCGACCGACGGTCGACGGACGACGGTAATTTCGAATTAAAATTATATAATATAACGTATGTCGATTCTAGAACATTTTAATGGAAAGGCCAGATCATTATCGAATCGATAATCCCGAAATCCCGATAGGTACTCTGCCGAATATTCTAGAATAGAAACAATAATATTTTTTGATGAACGTTTAAATTTAGAATTTTGACAAAATTCTTAAAATCTACAATATTTTAAAATTATTTTGTGATTTTAGGTAAAAGTTCATCAATATTTTTCTTCTTATTTCTAAGCATTTGTAAATTTAATATAGGATTCCTCATAAGCTTTTCTTTCTATGATGTGATTATGATATACAAATATATTATTATAAAAATTAAATCGACCTTTAAATACCGTCAAGCTCGGATTAAGGATCAATTGGACCTCGGAATGCCATACACTTAATGGACCTCCTTCAATTTTAACTTCATAAAAATTATATTGCTTCATTTTTACGATTTTATATGTTTAATTGTTTAATTTAAAAAATTAAATATACACATCAAAGACTGATAAATCGATAATTATATAATATTATACAACACAGTACACACACACACACACACACACACACATATATATATATAATATATATTTAAATATCACGCTGCCGTATTTTACTAAAAAAATATAATTTAGATTTTATTTTCTTAGTTTCACTTTTGCAATTTATCTTAAAGTTACTATATAAAATTGATCAATTGCAAAATATAATTTTCTAAGTGTGTCATTAATGATGTTAAATTTTCTTGAATTTAAGTAGATTAATTTGTTTTATATCTATTTTTATTTAATTTTCTAGTAGTATTGATGTAATTGCAGGAGTTTTGAGAAAATTATTAAAAAATAATCAACTTAAACTACCGTATATGTGTATAATACATATTGCATATTATACTTAATTAAAAGTAGATTTATAATATTTTATTATAATATTATGGTTATAATATTAGTTTAAATAATTTTATTTAGGCATGATATTATTGATATTACTTAAGTTGTTGACCACTGGAAAAATGTGGACAAGCTAACTATAAATCAAAAATCAAACTTTTTAAAAAGAGGTATAGATAATTGGTTGTAATTACAGGTTGTCATGACAAATACGATCCGTCAGTAAAATATATTTAAAATGTATATGCATCAAAATAACTTTTTTGTAAAGCTCATTTCAATGTCCAAAACTACCTTCTGAAAATGGAGAAATGTGGCTTATGGCAAAACATTTCTGCAGCCTACAAAAATTTAGTGTCATATCATGCAGATAGTCTAATTTACCGATATTATATATAAATAACAATTATATATAGGAAAGTATACCTAATAGTGTTGTTGCCACATTCGTGAAGAGAAAAAAAATAAATTATTTTTTTAGAGGTAATAATTAAAAAATTCCATAATCTTACATAGTAATTTAGGTAATCTCTTATTCTTATAATGTAAAATGTATAAAAGCAGAGTCCTCTTTTAATTTTGGTCCTGATTACTTACATGATAAAATGTATAAAACTGCTATTAAATAAAAAACAAGGAAATTTACCAAATTATATATACGAAAATCGCAAAAAGATGAACTTTACGGGCAAAACGGTGAAAAGTCTAAACTAAACTTAAGGCCATCTACTAAGTTGGTATAATTTTCAAATAATTTTTTTATATACCTATTTAAATTGTTCCTATTATTTATATTAGCTTAAAATATAATAATAATTTTTTAGTTCAAAAACTAATAAAATTAAAAAATGTTATAGATCTGATAAAGACTATAGAGATCTATGTGATAAGCTGAGTTGCGGTGACATACCAATTTCATATAGATTTGGAAAATATTTAAATTAAAATTTTAAATAATTATAAATAAATGTAGGTATAGGAAATACATTTTAAACAGTGAAGTATTTACATCAACAACAGCAGCAATGGCATTAATATGACATAAATTGTTAAAATTACCAAATAGTAAATGGTTTTTTTTTTTAGACATAAAATTCAATATGAACTAATGGCAAAAAACGATTTTGAAATGAAGTATAATTTAAAAATTTTACCAGCAGAATTATTTGTAAATGCATAATATATTTTTTTTGAATAGTTCACCTGATAGATTAGTTGAAGATAATGATAAAGTGTAAATTAAATGCCCATATATTATAGTATTTTAAAGGCATGACACCTAAAAAAGGAGTATTGGCTAATACAATAACATTTTTCACAAACTATCTAAACGAAAAAATTAAATTAAAATGAAACGATAATTGTTCCTATTAGTTAACTTAGAGAAGCCAATAAAAAATCGTGTTACTTTATAGTACGGATTTCAAAAGGTAAATATTTTGTAATTTTTGTTTATTACCTATTTACAAGCGATTAAAAACAAATATTGAAATATGTAATAACTGTGTGTCTGTGTATATAGTAAATGTATAAGAATGTTATAGTTATATTATTACTGTAATAAATATATGTTATGCAATATAATGTATTGAAAAGTAAGACGCATAGAATAATTTATATTTTAAATAAGCTATAACTAATGGTACATATGTGGAAACGCATATCATTACAATAGTTCCTATCTGTTGTACTAACTCTACCACTTTCGAATTTTAATACAAAACCTTGATAGTATTATGTAATTTTTTTGTATAAACAAAAAAAAATATATAAACCGGGGAGATAAACACTAGAAACTCAGTTTTTGCATGCTTGTCTTAGACTCCTGAAGAAACGTTTCTTCAGTTCCTACTCCCTTTGAAAAATTTGATTAAATACAGTTTTAGTTGGCACAGTATAATGTGCAATTTTTTTTTTTTACAACATAGATATCTACACAAACATGCAAAAACTTGTGGTTTATTTTTCAGTACTTTCTTTGCCAAGTTTTTAACAAATACAATGATCAATAATCATCTTGGTAGCATTTATCTATACCTATACTGTATTCAGTGGCGTAAATTGGGCTAAATTGTTAGGGTTGCAATCAGTTTCTAGGTTAGACAGACTTGTGGGGGGCTTTGCCCCCCCACACCCCCCTAAAATATTTTATTTTATTCTAGATTTAACATTACAAGTACATAAATTCAACAAAACTATTTTAACCTTAAACACATATTGTATCTATTGGCAATTAGTATTATGAATATACGCTATAAATAGGGTATATAATTACTTACTGTCAATAAAATATTTATAATTTTCTTAAACAATATATGAGTACATTAAAAAAAAACAATTTTTTTATTTTATAAAATTTATATTTTAATAACAGCTGCCATTTATATTTTTTGTGTAATATAATACCTAATACAATATAATATATATATATACATTATAGGTAGATTTAAAATATTAGTTGGTTTTTTACTGAGGGAATAATATCATTTACTGCAGTAGTAATCGGCGGCCTCTACATTCTGCGGCAGCACTGAATTTTTCTATTACTAAATCTTTATCTATAAGAGATGATCTTTCACGTTCAATTTGCAAGATTCCAAGACTGTTTAATCTTGATTGTCCCATTGTGGTTCTTAAATATGTTTTTAACCTACGTAAACAAGAAAAACTTCTTTCGCATGATGCGGAGTTAGTTGGTATAGTAATAAATAATTGTATCAAACTTGTTAATGTTGGAAATCCAGCTTTATAATTTTCTGATGCAATGAAATTGATTTTTGATTGCACATTACTTTGATTATGTACAGCTTTATACATCCTATTTAAAATTTTTGTTTCTGCTTTAAGATTATCCTCATCAAAACCATACATTTTATTTATTTCTTTAAAAGAATTATTATTTGGAGTATCATTTAAGAGTATGTCTTGCATACAGTTTAAAATATATAAATTATTTTCTTCAAACCTTTCACTCATGTCATTTATAATATTATCCAGAACAGCAAAATATATATTTATTTTATAATGTTTATTTATGGTAGTATTTTCAACCTCCTTCAATCCACCGCCAAGTTTAGCTGGTATTTTTTGCTTTCTGGGAAGTATAGGAGAAGAAACATTATATTGTTTTCTTAAAATGTCTACTTCATTCCAAGTGTTATTAAAACTTTCTTCACACCGCATATTGCATAATTCTTGTATTGTTTCTTTTGCCATTGACTGTACATTACTATAAATTATTGAACTTGATTGTAAATACTTTGATAAAATATTAGTTAACAACAGTATCTTTTTAAGAAAGTATATACAAAATAAAAATTCAAAAGTATTTATTGACTTTAGTAATGCATTAGCATCAGATCCATAAACAGCATCATTTTCCGAAATATCTTCTAATGTACTAACCACAGTTTGAAAATTGAATAAAACCGCCTTGAGGGCATCTAGTCGGCAACTCCACCTAGTATCACTGAGACTTTTTAAAGTTTTAGGTCCTTCACATGTACTTATATTTAAAACTGAATACATTTTTTCAAAAATTGCATGCCTCTTGGATGATGCACCAATAAAATTATGTAATGTATTTAATGTTCCAAATACATTTCTTAC